CCCAACGCTTAAAGAGGGGAACTTGGACGCTGTTTTTTTTAAAAGAGAGAAAAATTAAATTGACAATTCCCCAATGTCCCGAGATCACTGGTATTCCACCAGTGCTACTTTGGATGGGAAGGGGCACAAAAGTGGTTAAAGGGCCCTCTCCTATTTGAAGAGGAGGAATAGAGGCTGGTGTAGAGTATAAATACCAACGCTGACTAGTTGGGCCACACGGCCTGTTCCCACGTTATCTCACTTTGTGTAACATTGTCTATGTGCCGCCATCATCTCCGTTGTTGGCCGCTCGCTCTTTCCCAGGACGCTTTATGGATATGAATTATTTTGTTGGCTTGCTAGCTTCAGACTGCTGCTGTGCTGGGCTTCGAGATGCCGCACCACGACTATATCAAGAGCAAACATACTCCTTTACAAAGCTGCATTTCAGTAAAATGTTTAAAAATATAAGCTTTATCTTTTATTTCCAATTCAATTTTAATAAAAAACAAATGTATAAGCTTCAAGGCTTTAAAGTCTTTCAGAACCCTTTATACCTATTCTTTGGTTTCTTGTGTGTGTGTGTGTGTGTGGATAGTTATTTTTCTTCACCTGCACTCAGATCCTCATTGGGGTGTTAAGCTCTACCTGAGCTCGAATCCTGACCCAATCCTTCTGCCCCAAAGTGCGAGTGCACCCAACTGAAGTAGACTGACAGTTAGGTTGTTATCTGTCCCTCACTTCATGGCAGTGGCGTGGCATGTGCACTTTGGCAAGAGAGGGGAAGTAGGATGATATCTTTATAAACTTTCTGTGATACGACAGTTGGCAGGAGCTTCCAGTGCTAATGTCACACGGGCTGAGAGCTGTCAGTGTGGATTAAATCTGGGACATTCCGGACTAAAATGCAGTTCAATTATAGGTAACTTGAGAGAAGCTCGTCAGTGAGTTACCACTGCAGAACGTTGTCTGGGTAAGCGAGAATTATTACTAAATACAGCCCAGACCTGACCGCAAGCTCTCTCCAGGTAATGTTCCAGAATGGATGGTGAGTCACTGGTGGGATCCACCCATCCTGCTCAGAACACCATGACAAATCCTGTTTGTGTGCAGGAGTCGCCCAAATATGCTGCCACCTCAGTCAGTCAGTCAGTGCAAATCAGACCAGATTCAGCAGTGATTGTACAAAGGCCACAAACCATCCTAATAATGTAAACAGGATCCTCTCTCAGGCTTCGGAAGCTATTGACTTGTAAATTGTATGCAATTGAGACAAAAAAGAGGTCAACCTCTGCCCTCTATTTTAGGAGCAATTTTATTTCATATATATTTAATATTAAGTGTAAGGATTATTAATGTTAGATCATATTTCAAGTTGACCTGTGGGAACACCATTCTGGAAATAGATGGCGAGTATGGTAGGAGAGTTTGTGTGGGTTTGCATAACATTCATCTGGTGATGTTCCCCAATCATGTGTTGTTATTGAATCCTGCAATGCCTTGTTTGCCAACAAATACACAGACACCACTTCACAGTAAAATCCCTGAAGCGCTTTGAAATGAGTTGACAATGTGATAACAACAAAATGACATTTATAGAGCGTCTTTCACAGCAGGAGGACATCCCAAGGCGCTGGACAGTCAGGGGTAGGGGTGAGGGAGGGCAGAGAGGCATGATTCCAAGAGGAAGGTCTTGAGACCGGCCGTGAGGGAGTCGAGGGAGGAAGTGAGGCGAAGGGACCGTGGGATGGAATTCCAGAGCATAGGGGCAGAGAGGCTGAAAGCCCGGCCACCGATGGTAGGGCGGGTCGGGGGGAGATATGGAGCAGCCGGAGCCGCTGAATGGTGGGAGTGGGCAGGTTGGTAGGGAGTCAGCAGGTCAGAGAGGTAGGAGGGGGCGAGGCCATGGGTGGCCTTAAAGGTGAGGACGAGGATCTTGAACTCGATCCTCTGGGGGATGGGGAGCCGGTGGAGTCGGGCGAGGGTGGGGGTGATGGGGTCACGGAGTCTGGTGCGTGAGAGCACACGAGTTTTGATGATCTGCAGCTTGTGAAGGCTTTGCACCCAAGCGGTCCACTGACTTTCCAGTGCCATGGGATGTCCTCCCGATGTAAAATTTGCTGTATAAATGCAATTTGTTGTTGTGATAAAGCACTCCGAGCGAGGTGCGAGGGGAGAGAGGTGCGAGGGGAGAGAGGTGTGAGGAGAGAGGGGTGTGAGGGGAGAGAGGTGTGAGGAGAGAGGGGTGAGGAGAGAGGGGTGTGAGGAGAGAGGGGTGTGAGGAGAGGGGTGTGAGGGGAGAGAGGTGTGAGGAGAGAGGGGTGAGGAGAGAGGGGTGAGGGAGAGAGGTGTGAGGAGAGAGGGGTGCGAGGGGAGAGAGGTGTGAGGAGAGAGGGGTGTGAGGGGAGAGAGGTGTGAGGAGAGAGGGGTGAGGAGAGAGGGGTGTGAGGGGAGAGGGGTGTGAGGAGAGGGGTGTGAGGGGAGAGAGGTGTGAGGAGAGAGGGGTGAGGAGAGAGGGGTGTGAGGGGAGAGAGGTGTGAGGAGAGAGGGGTGAGGAGAGAGGGGTGTGAGGAGAGAGGGGTGAGGAGAGAGGGGTGTGAGGAGAGAGGGGTGTGAGGAGAGGTGCGAGGGGAGAGAGGTGTGAGGAGAGAGGTGTGAGAAGAGAGAGAAAGTGTGAGGAGAGAGACAGAAGGTGTGAGGAGAGAGAGGTGTGAGGAGAGAGGTGTGAGGAGAGAGAGAGAAGGTGTGAGGAGAGAGAGAGAAGGTGTGAGGAGAGAGAGAGGGGTGTGAGGAGAAGAGAGAGGTGTGAGGGAGAGAGGAGGTGTGAGGAGAGAGAGAGGAGTTGTGAGGAGAGAGAAGGTGTGAGGAGAGAGAGAGAGAGAGGTGTGAGGAGAGAGAGAGGAGGTGTGAGGAGAGAGAAGGTGTGAGGAGAGAGAGAGGTGTGAGGAGAGAGAGAGAAGGTGTGAGGAGAGAGAGAGAGTGTGAGGAGAGAGAGAGAGGTGTGAGGAGAGAGAGGTGTGAGGAGAGAGAGGAGGTGTGCGGAGGGAGAGAGGAGGTATGAGGAGAGAGAGAGGTGTGAGGAGAGAGAGGAGGTGTGAGGAGAGAGAGAAGGTGTGAGGAGAGAGAGAGGTGTGAGGAGAGAGAGAGAGAAGGTGTGAGGAGGGAGAGAGAGAAGGTGTGAGGAGGGAGAGAAGGTGTGAGAGAGAGAGAGAGGTTAGAGAGAGAGAAGGTGTGAGAGAGAGAGAGAAGGTGTGAGGAGAGAGAGAGGTGTGAGGAGAGAGAGAGGTGTGAGGAGAGAGAGAGAGAGGTGTGAGGAGAGAGAGAAGAGGTGTAGGAGAGAGAGAGGTGTGAGGAGAGAGAGAGGTGTGAGGAGAGGAGGTGTGAGGAGAGAAGGTGTGAGGAGAGAGAGAGAGGTGTGAGGAGAGAGAGAGGAGGTGTGAGGAGAGAGAGAGGAGGTGTGAGGAGAGAGAGAGAGGTGTGAGGAGAGAGAGAGAAGGTGTGAGGAGAGAGAGAGGAGGTGTGAGGAGAGAGAGAGGAGGTGTGAGGAGAGAGAGAGAGTGTGAGGAGAGAGAGAGGTGTGAGGAGAGAGAGAGAGAAGGTGTGAGGAGAGAGAGAGAAGGTGTGAGGAGAGAGAGGAGGTGTGAGGAGAGAGAGGAGGTGTGAGGAGACAGAGCGGAGGTGTGAGGAGAGAGAGGATAGAGAGAGTGTGAGGAGAGAGAGAGGTGTGAGGAAGAGAGAGAGAGGTGTGAGGAGAGAGAGAGGATGTGAGGAGAGAGAGGGGGTGTGAGGAAGAGAGAGGAGGTGTGAGGAGAGAGAGAGGTTGTGAGGAGAGAGGAGAGAGAGGTGTGAGGAGAGGGAGAGAAGGGGTGTGAGGAGAGAGAGGAGGTGTGAGGAGAGAGAGAGAGAAGGTGTGAAGAGAGAGAGAGAGAGAGTGTGAGAGGCCGTGGTGGAGCTGATCCGGGACAGGCTGCGGAGGCTGGAGCTGCCGGAGCACCAGATGGCCTCGCTGGTGACGGACGGCTCAGAGGTGATGATCGGTGAGAAGGTTGGGGTGGCGGCCAGGCTGAGGGAGCTGAACCCCAGCCTGATTGCGGTGCATTGCCTAAGGCACGAGCTGGGGCTGGCCGGCTCCCCCTCCTGCCCACACTGCCGCTACCTGGCCATGGTGGAGGGCTACCTGCAGCAGCTGTGGGGGCTGTTGGAGACCTCGCCCGGCTTGTGTGCTGCCTACCTGCAGGCACAGCTGGAAGCCAAGGGGTTGGTGGCGCCCACCAGCGGGCGGACTACCAGGGCGCTGCTCCGCAGGCTGGCCAGGGTCTGCCGTCACCGGCGTCTCAACATTGAGGCCTCGGTGGATGCCGCCTACCGCGACTACATAGCTCTGGTCCGGGTCCTGATGGAGGCTGAGGCGGGCAGTGCCGCGGCGAGCGGGCTCCTGGCACAGCTGAGCACCGTGCGCTTCCTGGGGGCGCTGGCCATCCTGCGGGAAACCTGCCCCATCCTGAGCGGCCTCGGCAAGGTCTTCCATAAGGGCTCCGTCAATTTCTTCAATGTGGAGCCGTCCGTCAAGTATGCGGTGTACCGGCTGAACGAGGTGACGGGCAGCAAGGCCCCGCTGGCACGGCTCCAGGAGGAGCTGCAGTCGGGGGGGAGACTGGCGGGGACCGGGCTGAGCCTGGGGGAGGCCGAGGAGGCTGACCTCGGGGCCCTGCTGGACGCTTACGTCAAGGCCGTCAAATCCAACCTCCAGCGTCGCTTCAACTCCTCGCTGCCACTGCTCTCCGCCTTCTCCATCTTCAACCCCCTGCTCGTGCCTTCCCCGGAGTCCCCGGATTTTGCCGAGTACGGAATGCCGGAGATCCGCACGCTCGCCAAACACTTCTACCGGGAGCCGGTGGACGGCGATGGCGGCACAGCCACAGCCAAGATGGGCCAATTGGTGGATGAATGGGCCAAACTGCGCTTTGACCTCTTCACCTGGAAGAACAACGTGCCGGAGGCGGTGCTGACGGACACCAGCACCACGGTGACCGAGTGGTGCCTCAAACGTCTCTTTAGCCTCAAGACCGAGCTCCAGCAGGCGTACCCCTCATTGCTGCCCCTGGCCGAGGTCTCGCTCTCCATGCCCATCACCAACGCCTGGTCTGACAAGGGCTGCAGTGCTCTCCGCAGGATGGAGTCGTCTCTGCATAGCCGTCCCAAACCCGACCTGCTCAACAGCCTGATGCACATCAGCCTCAATGGCCCAGACGTCGGCAGCGCTGAGTGCGCGCAGGTGGTGCAGAGAGCGGTGACTGCTTTCCTGCAGCAGCGTCGGGGGAAGCTGGGGGGTGGCGGGGGGGGTGGGGACAGGCCGGGGCTGGGTGGGGGAGCTGAAGAGGGGGCTGATCCCAGCCCCTCAGAGGCCGGGGAGGCAGGTGGCCCTCCGGAGCAGGACTGGGAGCTGGAGCTGGAGGAGACCGGGAGCGCACTGCAACTACACACTGATAACGACAGTGACTCTGAGGAGAGTGTGTGTGACTGACCCCCGAGAGTGTGTGTGACTAACCCCCCGTTCCCCCCACCCCTGAGAGTGTGTGTGATTGAACCCCCCCCCCTCTCCCCACAGTGTGTTTAAGCTGCTCCTTTCACATCCTTGTTTTATTCCTTGCGGTGTGTGTGGGTGGGGGTTGGGTGGGGGGTGTTCACTGAGGCTGAATTGGCTCCCACTCACTCGCTAAAGAGCGATCATTACAGTGTTACTTCAGAGGATGGAGTTTGTTACCGTGCTCTTACTCGGGGGCGAGGGGTTGGGGGGTATCTGGTTCCTGAGCCGGGCAGGTCCGCAGTACTCTTACCTCTGAAAGTGCCATGTGCCCGTGGGAGGCATGGAATTCTCAGTTGGCTTTGGAGACTCTTAAGCCCGTCCCTGCCGTCCCCTCCCCGAGTGCCTGCCTGGACACTGCTATCTCCCCCCCACCCCCCACCCCCCAGCCCCGCCCGAGGCAACAGCTGCGGGGAAATGTGAGAAATGCTAAAATATTAAACTAGAAGTGCAAGTGCCATCCAGCGGTAGAGGGGGCGACCCGTAGCAGTGTTGACCGTGACAGTGTCGTTGAAGTGGCTGATGACTGACTGTGACACTGTGTGGTCACGTGATTTCAGTTGCCTGTAGACCTAAGTTGGGTGTTTGTGATAGTCTGTGCACTCTGTGAGTTTTATATACAGTGTAAACTGTGCCAGTGGTTTAGAAGCAGAGAAATATTAAACCAGTGTTTTTAAAAATGTGAAGGTTGCAGCCTCCGCTGATTATCCAACAACAAGCAGGTGGGGGGGGGGAGTGCTGTTACACATTTACAACAGGGGATGGGGTTAGAGTAGAGAGCTCCAGTGGGGGAGCGAGCCCCAGCACAGACACCATGGGGAGAGAGCTCCAGAGGCGTAGCAACACCAGCACAGACAAACAAATGGCCTAAATGGCCTCTGGTGTCATTTATGAATCACACAATTCTGTGATTTTCCTGGGAGTTTCTCATTCAAGTGTGTAAAAAAAATTCTAAACCCATTGCTGTCAATTTCATATGCACTTTATTGGGGTTGAGAACATACCTGTACACTACATCACTCACAGTAACTACAGGAACTAGGATCCTACAGTGTGGACACCAAACAAACCAGACCTTAAAGTCTGAAGCGGGGCTCAAACCCACAACATGACGGAGGCTATAGCCAGGCTGACACATAGCTACAAAGAGCTTCACGGGATATACTGTAAAGTGGATTGACTGCATTTTGTGGTGAAACATTGCAACCGATTGCACCCAGCAGTGTCCAACCAACAGCCATGGACTAAATCACCAAATTTTTTATTTTTGGGGAGGGAGGGAGAAATTATTATCCCTGGAAAGCGATCCGCTAATCGATTAATAACTGGATTCCTACTTACTGCTTGGTAAACAGGCGTGTGGAGTAAGGAAACTTGCCCAAGGTGTTGCCCTGCCTGGGAATCAAACCCGGGATCTCTTCTTTGTGATGCACTAACCACTACTCTCCAGGACTCCAGGAACTGCGGGTAGGGCAAAAGAGCAGGGCTTTGGGCCCTATCAACTGTGCAAAAGGCTGGCTGGGCTGAATAGCCTGCTACAAATCCTAAAACAGACACAACAACAACAAGATTCCATTTATAGAGCGCCTTTCACGTTGGGAGGATGTCCCAAGGCGCTGTACAGTTGGGTCAGGAACCGAGCATTGGGGGGGAAATGGTCAGGGTGAGGGGAGGGAAGGGAGGAAGTGAGGAAGGGGTAGAGAGTCAAGAGGGGAGCTGAAGGCACGGTTGAAGAGAAAGGTCTTGAGACCGGCCTTGAAGGAGGAAAGGGAGGAAGCGGCGAAGGCACTGGGGGATGGAGTTCCAGAGCCTCGGGGCTGAAGGCCCGGCCACCGATGGTAGGGCGGTTGGGGCAGGGGATGTGGAGCAGACCGGAGCCAGAGGAACGGAGGGTACGGGCAGGTAAGTAGGGGGATAGTAGGTCGGAGAGGTAGGAGGGAGCGAGGCCGTGAATGGCCTTGTAGGTGAGGATGAGGATCTTGAATTCGAACCTCAAGTTGAGGGCAAGTGTAAGAAGCAGAGAGAGCTCTGAATGTCAGAAGAGACTGAAGTGGGCGCCGTTTGGAGTGTAAGGAAGGAATGAGCTGCACTCCTGCCCCTCCACGCTAACAGTTCTGCAGACAAACTCCCTGAGGCTGAGCCACGGCCTGGGAGTGTGGAGGGGTGACAAAGGGAATGAGGAAGAAAATCCCTTTGAAGAACAGAAGTTTAGTGCAGGTGTGTACGATGTGGGCTGCGGGAACCGGCAAGTGGCCATCACAGATGTATGGCAGTTCAGTACCAAGGGCGAGCCCCGGGCAGACTGGCTGGCAGCAATTCACACACACACTGCCCGTTTGACCAGAGAATGGGGATAAGGTAAAAGCATTAAACAAGAAGGATCAGCGAGGAGCTCAGTTGTTCATCTCTGGGACCTGAGCCGAGTTCAGCCTGTTTGATGGGATGAAGGTCTCCCTCTCTCTTCAGGTTGGGAACCATCTTGCACAGAAGGCAAGAAGACAGCAGCTCTGAGTGCTGGCAGCAGGAAGCCGGCCATGACACAGGCCGCCTGGGATGAGGAGAAAAAAACTGGCCCAATAACAACCTCAGCGGAACTCTGCTCAGACGCCAACTGTGGAAAAGGGGTCCTGGTGGCGGGCAGGCTGGTGTTTGAGGGCATGATTTATAGAATGGTGGAACAGGCTCGAGGGGTTGAATGGCCTACTCCTTCCTCTTCCTGTGTCCCTAGGGCAGATCCTGCAGGACACAGGCTGCCTGGATGCCCACAGGTTGCTAATCGTGTGATTTCCCCCCCGGTGTCTGCCAGTCTGGTCTCCCCCAGCTCTCGGGACCTGGTGGCGGCACTGGCCGGGGGCAGGTCTGGGGGGCAGCCATTCAGCTCCATGTCCTCCATCAACTGCCTCACGGCCCCCTGGATAGCAGATTCCACGATGCGTTGTGCGGTCTGGGAAATTAGCGTCTCCCATGCACCGGCCCCCGGGGGCTGCAGGCAACCTCCCCACAAACCCCCATTCTCTGCCCTCAACCCCTGCTCATTGCCAAGCCCCTGATCTCCACCCCTGTTGAGCTGATGACAGGGGGCAGAGTGGCTCCCAGGCTGGTTCCGGCCTGTGGGGGCAGTGCCCTGAAGCCCACCCCTGGCCTCTTGCAGACCAGCAGCCTGACAGCTGGCACTTATCCCTGCCCGACCCTCAGTCCCTCTGGCTGGGGAGGAGCATTGGGCACAAGGGTCTTCCCCGTTCTCTTGGCTCCTCGATTCTGCAGGATATGAGCTCTGGGAGCCCTGAGCCAGGCTCTGCCCACTGTCCTGGGCAGGCGCTGAAGAGTCTTCAGCAGATTTGAGCTTTGGGAAGGCTGGCTTGTGAGCAAGTCCCCCCATAGGCTCCTCACTGCCCTCCGCAGGCTCCTCACTGCCCTCCGCAGGCTCCTCAATGCCCCTCACAGGCTCTTCACTGCCCCTCACAGGCTCCTCACTGCCCTCCACAAGCTCCTCACTGCCCTCCACAAGCTCCTCACTGCCCTCCACAAGCTCCTCACTGCCCTCCACAAGCTCCTCACTGCCCTCCACAAGCTCCTCACTGTCCCCCGCAGGCTCCTCACTACCCCCCGCAGTCTTCTCACTGACCCTCGCAGGCTCCTCACTGACCCTCGCAGGCTCATCACTGCCCCTCGCAGGCTCCTCACTGCCCCTCGCAGGCTCCTCACTGCCCCTCGCAGGCTCCTCACTGCCCCTCGCAGGCTCCTCACTGCCCCTCGCAGGCTCCTCACTGCCCCTCGCAGGCTCCTCACTGCCCCTCGTGGTGGCCTGACAGAGCCCCATTGGTTGCCGTGTGTCAGTCCCTGCTGGCCCTGGGCTGGTCACCGCTTCCTGTGCTGGCTTCTCTCTGGGTTGGAAGCCAGCATTCGTTTGTCCTCTCTCTGTCTGGCCATGAGCTGTCGCTGGCGGAGCCTCTCCAACACTTTCCCCGCCTTGTGAGTTCTCGCAGTGGGTTCCAGTCGGGTGCTGTTCGGAGGTTCCTGCTGGAGCGAGATCCAGAACCCGCTCCTGGCTCAGTGATGGGGATCGGGGACACGTGGTGTTCGAAGCGCTGTCATTGGCTCTCGCACACACCCCTCTTGTTCTCGGGCTCCATGCTCTCCTCTTTGTGCCTCTGAGTAGCTTCCCCAGGGGGTCTGTGCGGTTGGCTGCGGAGTTTTCCCCAGGACTCTGGGAACCTGAGATCAATTCAGTGCCTTGTCTGGAAGCCAGCATGTGCCTGAATGACGCCCACTTTCGGCCTGTACCCTTTCTCTTCAGCTTGCCTGGTCTCCTGCCTTTACCCTCTCTCATACCTTGGTCACACTTGCCCTGCGTGTGGGAGACATCCTCATGTGCTTCTGCCCCGTTTCTCAGCTCAACAGAGCCACCCATGTGCGGGGCTTTGCAGACAGACCACTCCTCACTCTGGGCTGCCCTTGGTTTCTTCTGAGATTTTCTGACACAGATGAGGGCTGCCCACACACCCCTGGAGCCTCGCACCCACTTCAGGCATCTCGGTCCTCTCCCCTCCCCCATTAACGTTTGCTTTTCAGCGTGTGTCAGGCTCTCAGCTTCTTTCATTCCGGCCTCTGGTTGGCCATTCAGAGGCTCTCCTTTGGTGGGGAAGAGTGAAGAGCAATGAACGGGGTCTTGGTTACTCTCTGCAATGGGTCTGGCTTTCCCTCTGGGACCTTCGTGGACTGGCTCCTCAATGGCTCGGTTTGTATGATGGTGTAAGACCTCGACAGTCTCTGAGGAGTCTCTCCCGGCCAGGACACCATCACCTTGCTGTGGATCAGCTTTCTGAGTTACCTGGGCCTCGATTCTCGCCGGACACTCTAGCGCTCCAGGCCTGTCGAGTACCTGAGCCCCTTTCTCTGTCTTCAGGGCTCTGCTCTTATTCTTCATGAGGAATAATTTGGGAGGACCTCCTCTCGTGAGTTTCCTCACCAGGCCAACCTTGCCCTCGCCCTGACACAAGTCCTCACCATCCTGATGTGAAGATGTCAGGACCTCCATGTATACAGCCTGATTTATGCCTGGACGGGGTGAGGGGTGATCTTTGTGGAATTAAGACCACATTGTTGATGCCGTCTCCAATACCACGATTATCTATTTTATCAGACCTATCTCACGTGTAGTGTGAGATTGAGAATATCTGTAAAGATACAATCAGATAAACAGCACTTTACTTGCCTCAACTCTTATAATAATAACCTTTGTATTTGATACAGCGCCTTATCACATCGTTGAGACGTCTCAAAGCGCTCACAGGATACACTGTAAAGTGAATTGACTGTATATTTTGTGGGTGAAACATGGCAGCTAATTGCGCACAGCAGCGTCCCAAAACATTTGCGGATTCAGTGACCAAATTATTAAATTTTTAGAAGGGATTATTACCCCCGGAAAGCGATCCACCAATCGACTAACAACCAAGTGCCTATGTAAACAGAGGCATGTGGAGTAAGGAAACTTGCCTAAGGTTTCGCATCGAACCCAGGTCTTCTTACTTGCGAGGCGAGCGGTCTAATCACTACGCTACAGGACTCCACATCACAACTCTTTCATCACACCACGTCCAGTGTGAAAATGTCCAAACCAGTAATCCCAGTGGGGAGTTAGCACCAGCAGACAGGTGGGCAACACACTACACCAAGTAATCAACAAGCTTAGCTCTCACCAGCATGGTATAATAATATAATAGGTATTTGTGTGTAGAACGGATGTTTTTATCACTAAAATTTTATTTTAGTGGTTTAGTGTGTGGGAACGTGGGTGGGAGGGCAAGTAACTGCTTTCCGTTCATTATATCCCCTATCACTGGGCGGTGGGTTTGGGTACAACAATGTGACAGATTGGTCACTGCCTCCATCACATCAAGGCATTTCTTCAGGAGGTTCATATTATTGCTCAGTAATGCCAGGAAGCAGGCTTGTCAGAAAGTTGCAGGCTTTGAGGTGCCCAAAGCTCCTGGTGTGTGTGTGTGTGTGTGTGTGTGGTCATTAAACATGCAGCAGCGCTCCGCTCGAGTCCACAGCCTAGCCCCTAACAAACTGCTGTCACTCCATTAATCTGATCCCTGGAGAGACACAAACCCACGGCCACGTGTCTGGTGATTGAAAGGAAGGAAAGCTACCAGCCCCCCAGGTGTCCTCTTAACACTTGTTGAAGCCAAGAACTTTAGCAAGCGAGTGGGTGGAGAGAGATGATGGTAACAGTTGAGAGCACCCTGCCATTCATGTACAGGTCATTAGATACAATTTAATCTTCACACCTCCCGCCCCCCCCCAACCCCCATTAAATTCTTGCTTTGAGGCTCCTCCAATTTGAGTCACCTCTCACCTCTCCTGAATGGGCATTCTGCCTGTAAGAGACAGATGCTGGTTATCAGTTATTATCCTTGCTAGAGGGGAATCCAGAGATATCTCACCGCCGAGCTCAACACTGTACTCTCCAGCAGGGCGACAGAGACCAATGGTAGCTCCTTCACCTCCCTCCCCCATTCAGCCTCACTCAACACCCAGCCAGGGCTTGGCCCTGTGCCTTGCCTGCTTGTGGTTCAGTATTGCACCACATGGTGCATGGTGGAGAGAGCGCACATTCCATTGCCAATACAGGGAAATTTCTATATGGAGGTGGGTTGCGTATGTGGAAATCAGTTTGGACTGGATACTTTTCAACTTGATCAAAACAACCCTTCTTTAAAAAGATTTGTGGACTCGGAGCCTCTGTCTCGACAGTGGCTTGTGGAGGACTCTGCAATCCCTCCACCCCGTATGAAGATACCTCTGAGCTTCCAGTTCATCTCATCTTCCAAATGATGCATCTTAAATGGAAATTGTTAGCTATAAATGGTCCACCTTAGCCCCAGTGAGCTTCACATCACCCTTGTTTAGCCAGGCACCGTGTCATCACACTGCTGAGCTCTAAGCATGTAGAACACACGCTTCCTCTAACACAGAGACTCATTCTAGAACATTCAATCAGTACATTAACTAAATTGGCTCCTATTGAATTTCTTTTTCTGCGAATGGGATTGGAATTGTGTGGAGTCCTATAGCTCAGTGGTTACAGCACTCGCCTCACAAGCGACAGGACCTGGGTTCAATTCCCGGGCAAGGTGAAACCAAAGGCAAGTTTCCTTACTCCAACCATCTGTTTACCTTACAGTAAGTAGGATCCCGGTGGTTAGTCAATTGGCAGATCACTTTCTGGGGTTAATAATCCCTCAAAAAAGAATACATTTTTTAAAAAACAATATGATTTGGTCACTCAATCTCCGACTGTTTGTGGGATACTGCAGTGCGCAGTTGCCTGCCGCGATTCACCCACAGAATATACAGTCACTACACTTTACAGTACATTCTGTGAAGTGATTTGAGATATCTCGAAAATGTGATATCAAATACAACAAATTATTTTGGGAATGCTGACGATTCCGACTTTTCCTTCTGAAACCCTCTCTCTACACTATCCCAGCTCGAAGAGATTGCTTCTATGCAGTGCAACAGGACCATAAACTCAAAGCAGTACAATTAGCAGTAAAAACAGTGTCTCGAGAGACAAGGGATTGAGACTGAATAAAGTGGATGAGATAGACAGAGCCAGATAGGGGCATCCAGTACTGGAGATCATAAAATGAATGAAATCGATGTAATATTAAAATAACTAAGATTGATATCTGCTGTGTGTAGAGAACCAGGAAGGCAGTGAGGATAGAGAAAAGAATATGCATAAATTAGAACATGCAGCTATAAAGTTAGATCTTAATAATTTCCTAAAGCTGCTCACTCACCTGACTTATTCCCCAATGAGCTATTCTGGAGACTTGAGCAGCCAGACTGTCTCTTCTATCTCAGGAGCTGCTTAGACAGCTGTCCTGCCCGCTCTGCTCTGTGGTGGGTAGAGGCTTGAGGTTGGGTTTTGAAGCTGCTCTGCAGCTTTGGTCGCAACAGAAAGTCCCCCCACCTCCCCTCCTGAAGTGACGGTTCTCAATCCCATAGCAACCGTGTGACAGACGGCTCCAGGCAAGCAGCCGCACAGCTAGAGAGATGCACCCACGGGCTCCAAGGTCCATCCTTGCAGCTCGCTCACTCCTGACATGACAGCAGTGATAGAACTACTTGACATGCAGTGTGTAATCGTTGCCAGCCCTCCACGCTTACAGCACAAGTTAATCACAATTATTCATTCAATCCACAAGAGGTGCTTTGCAGTTAATAAGGAGGAAGGTCGTGAGCTGGCAGATTAATTGGAAGTGATGTGCGAAGTGGCTGGTTATTATTTGCTTGTCAATCTGCATTAAGCCTCTGTTACTGTATTGATACTTGGCTTTCCTGATTGTTCCGTCTGATTTTCTCTCCTCGTTCCGAAGGGTTGACTCGTATTGGGATGTGCATCTAAACTACGGGAATCTCTTCCTCAATTCCTCAACCCCACTCATCCGCTCTCTCCCCATAGCCCTGATCAACCCCACTCCCACGCGCTCTCCCCATAGTCCTGCAAACTTGTCCTCCCCAAATAATGATCTACTCTTTCTTAAAAGTTGTTATTGAATCGGCTTCCACCAGTCTTTCAGGCATTGCATTCCAGATCCCAACAGCTCACTGTGTGAAGACATTTCTCTTCACCTCCCGTTTTTTTTAACAACTATTTTAAATCGGTGTCCAACCCACCCGCCAGTGGGAATAGTTTCTCCTTGTTCACCCTATCGAATCCCCTCATAATTTTGAAAACTTCTATTAAGTCTCCTCTTAACCTTCTCTGCTCCAAGGAGAATAATCCGAGCTTCTCGAGCCTCTCCTGATAACTGAAGCCCCTCATTCCTGGTACCATTCTGGTCAATCTCCTTTGCATCCTCTCCAATGCCTTGACATCCTTCCTAAAGTGTGGGGCCCAGAACTGAACACAGTCTGTAGCTGAGGCCTAACCCGTGTTTTGTATAAAGGTTCATCATAACTTCCTGACTGTTGTATTCTATGTCCCTATTTATAAAGCCCAGTATCCCGTATGTTTTTAAACAGCTTTATCTACCTGTCCTGCCACCTTCAAAGATTTACTTATATGAACCCCAGGTCTCTCTGGTCCTTCACCCCCTTTATATATATTGCCTTCAGCTTATATTGCCTCTTCTCATTCTTCCTCCCAAAATTTATCACTTAGCATTTCTCCACATTAAACTTCATCTGCCACGTGTCTGCCCAGTTTCCCAGTCTGTCTATGTCCTCTTGCAGTCTGTTACTATCCTCCTCACTGTTTACTACTTTCCTCACTTAGTATCATCTGCAAACTTGGAAATTGTCCTCCCTGTACCCAAGTCCAGGTCATTTATATAGATCAAGAACAGCAGTGGTCCCAATACTGATCCCTGGGGGACACCACTGCACACTTCCTCCTGTCAGAGAAACAACTGTTCACCACCACTCTCTGCTTTCTGTCTCCCAGACAGTTCTGTATCCACTGCCACTGTCCCTTTAATACCGTGAGCTTCTATTTTGCTGACAAGTCTTTCATGTGGCACTTTATCAAACACCTTTTGAATATCCATATAAACTACATCAACTGCACTATCTACATCCACCCTCTCCGTTACTTCATCAAAAAACTTATCAGGTTTGTTAGACATGATTTGCCTTTAACAAATCCTTGTTGTTAACCCATATTTTTCTAAGTCAAAATTTATTTTGTCCCGTATTATAGTCTCTAGAAGTTTCCCCACTACTGACTACGTTAGGCTGACTGGCCTACAGTTCCCAGATTTATCCTTCTGCCCTTTTTTGTACAGGGAAGTAACATTTGCAACCCTCCAGTCCTCTGGCAGCATTTTGCTGTCCAAGGAGAATCGAAAAATTGTGTCCAGAGCCTCCGTTACTGCCACTCTCAATTCCCTGTGACCTAGGATGCTTCTCATCCGGACTGGGTACTTATCTACCTTGAGCACCAACAACCTTTTTAGTACCTCCTCTCAGTTTATTATCATCTTACCAATTTCTCTACCCTCTCCTCCGATACTATGGCATTATCTGCATCCTCTTCATTTGTGAACACAGAAGCAAAGTTCTAATTCAGTACATCAGCCATGTTCTCTGCCTCCACAAGATTTCCTCTTTGGTTCCTAATTGGCCACTGCCTACCTTGACTAACCTTTTTATTCTTTATATGCTTATAAAATACCTTAGGGTTCCCTTTTACACCTGCTATTTTTTTTTCATACAATCTCTTTGCCCCTCTTATTTCCTTTTTCAGTTCAACACAACAACAAAATTACATTTATAGAGCGCCTTTCACTTCTGGAGGACATCCCAAGGCGCTGAATTCTCCTCTGTACTTTCTATAATTTATTTGATTCTCTTTTGTATTTTGGACCTGACATTTATAATAAACCTCCTTTTACAAGTTGGGCTGTTGATAATAATCCTTGCATTTGATACAGCACATTAATAATAATAATAATCCTTGCATTTGATATAGCGCTTTTCACGTCGGGAGGACGTCCCAAAGCGCTTTACAGAATATACTGTAAAGTGAATTGACTGTATATTTGTGGGCGAAAGCAGCAGCCAATTGCGCACAGCAATGTCCCACAAACAGTCATGGATTGAAAATGACCAATTTATTATTTTGGGGGGGTTTTGGAGGGATTATTATTAGGCTCTGTGTGGAGTAAGGAAACTTGCCCGAGGTTTCGCCCTCTGCCTGGAATTGAACTCAGGTTTCTCACTTGCAAAGCGAGTGCTCTAACCACTGAGCTACAGGACTCCACATTATCACATTATCTTGAAGTACTTCACAGAATTATTATATTGTAAAGTAAATTGAACTGAATATCTTGTGGGCAAAACACAGCAGCCAGTTGCACACAGCAGTATCCAACAAACAGCTGTGGATGAGTGACCAAATTGTTTTAAAAAATACATTTTTGAAGGGATTATTACCTCCAGAAAAATGATCCGCCAGTCGATTAACAACCGGGTTCCTACTTACTACTAGGTAACAGAGGCATGTGGATTAAAGAAACTTGCCCAACGTTTCGCCCTGCCCGGGAATCACTCAGGTCCTCTCACTTACGAGGCAAGTATTCTGACCACTAACCTGCAGTACTCCACGATGATGGTTAGGCAGATGTCAGCTGTCTCCAGTACCTCTACCCAAGTAGCTGTTTAGCTGGTGTGGGATATTAAGGGATGCGCTTGTGATTTGTGTTTCGCCTCCTGGAGCTATTTCCCCCTCATTGGCCGTGTGGTTTCTTGGTTTCACACCTCCCCTGGGTAGCCAGCGCCAGCTGAGACATCTGGTATAAACTGTGAGGTAGGTGGAATGGGGTGAGGGCCTTTTATTGCTCCCTCCAGTCTATGTTCTATGTGAAGGCTGACAGTGAATTTAAGTGCTTCGGGACGCAACCCAGCGTGAAGGACGCTGTATAAATGCAGTTGTTGTTGTCACCATCATCACGTTTCCAAACCTGGCCTCACTCGTGCTGAGCAGACACCGGCAAGAATCCTGGCCACAGTGCCTTAAAATAGGGAGCCAGCCAGGGTTACTGATGCTAATCCCTATCCACAGACCCCACTGTGAGGATGCAAGAAATATCGTCACATAAACTGCCCTGTCGAAGGTTCTGTCCTTTGGATAAGAAGTTTATCCCAGCTCCTCCTTTGGGTGATGTTAAAGATTGACAAAGAAAAGGAAATTTCTCCTGGTATCCTGGCGAACAATCCTCCAGATAATTTGTGCACCTCAAGGCCCTTACTGCTGCGTTCATCTACACTACAGTAATTCCTTCTGAAAGCACTGTGAGAAGCTTTGATGTTCAGGCTTTATAGTAAACCCAAGGACTAAGTCTGCCTGACGAGAGTGCGACTGCTGCCTTTATCAGAGACAGGTCTGAATGTTCAGGTCATTCTCCCAATTGCAAAATGTGTAACCCTCGCGTTCCTGTTAATTAGGCAGTGTGTGAAGGCTTGTAAAAGAGGCTTCTGTTATGTAGTATTTGCCTTGAACAGTAAGTAAAGTGAAAAAAACTGATGAAATTCAAGAATCTTTGTGCAAAAGTGACTCACACCATGTGAAGAATATCCATCTCCTACAGCTCATCTCTAATCATCTCCCACTAGCCCACAGCCCTGACCAGGAGACATTTGTTACCTGCCTAGCAATCGCTCCAAGGCCTTCATTCCCATGGCTTTCAGTTCAGCTTGACCCCCCCCCCCCCGCTCCACCAATACCCACCCCGAGTCCAGCACAAGCAACTGCACTACACAACCTGCCATATGATCTGCAATAACTGGCAGCCTGAGGTCCACATCACCTGCCCCCATCTAGAGCTGGAACACTCGGTCCTTGATTTTTATCTTCACAAGATCACACATTTTTCTGTTCAATCTCCAAACTGGAGATTATGTGACTAGCGGCTGGTGATAAATGTTGTGTAAAATGCTACATTATGGGGGTGGGTGGGTGGAAGACAGGTAGGAAAGAGGGTTTGAGGATGGCTATTTCATGTGCTCATATATACAGGTGTTTGTGTGTTTATAATAAGTAAGGAACATCCGGTCTCTCATCAACAAGTCCATTGTTTCATTACATCTTTCACCCTCTTCTTTCCCTGAATTTAACCACGAGAACTCCTCCCTCCTCTACAGGAATCCTCACATCCACCCACCCACCTCAACAGGACTCCTCTCCATCTCCCTCTTCCCTTCCTCCTTCAGTATAAGAGTGGGGAAGTCTTTGCTGCAACTGTATAGGGCCCTGTGAGACCACACCTGGAATACTGTGTGCAGTTTTGGTCTCCTTATTTAAGAAAGGATGTACTTGCCTTGGAGGGGGTGCAGCGTAGATTTACTCGGTTAGCACCAGGGATGAAGGGGATGAGTTACGAGGATAGGCTGACCAATTTGGGCCTATATTCTCTAGAATATAGTAGAATTAGAGGGGATCTTATAAAATCTTATAAAACCTATAAAATCATCAAAGAGTAGATAGAGTAGATAGTGGGAGATTGTTTCCCCTGGTTGGAAAAACTAAAACTCGTGGAGTCCTGTAGCTCAGTGGTTAGAGCACTCGCTTTGCAAGCGAGAGACCTGAGTTCAATCCCCGGGGGTTCAGGGCCAAACCTTGGGCAAGTTTCCTTACTCCACACAGAGCCTAATAATAATCCCTCCAAAACCAAAAACAATAATAAATTGGTCATTTTCAATCCACGACTGTTTGTGGGACATTGCTGTGCGCAATTGGCTGCCGCGTTCACCCACAAATATACAGTCAATTCACTTTACAGTGTGTTCTGTGAAGCGCTTTGGGATGTTCTCCCGACGTGAAAAGCGCTATATCAAATGCAAGGATTATTATTATTATTATTATTATTATTATAAAACCAGGGGTCACAACCTTAAAATCAGAGGCAGCCCTTTCGCACTGAGTTGAGGAAGAACTTCTTCACTCAAAGGGCGGTGAATGTATGGAACTCACTACCCGAAAGGGCTGTTGACGCTCAGTCCATGAACATATTCAAGACTGAGATAGATAGATTTCTTATTGCAAAAGGGATGAAGGGATATGGGGATAAGGCAGAGTTAGGTTATTAGCTGGAGTTAGATTAGAAGATCAGCCATGATTCAATGGCGGGGCAGCCTCGAAGGGCCGAATGGCCTGCTCCTGCATGTTACGTTATGTTCACATGTTTTTAAACCTCAACCTGGGCTGAGTATCGGCCCGCTCTGGGCTGAGTGTCAACACGCTCACACAGGGCGGGGACAGTTGTATGAAATTATCATTTATTATCAGTTTTTAGACATATCGAACCCATTGAAACGAATTAGTACATTATACGCAAAAGCTATGATTGTCACAGTGTCAGTTCAAATTTCCGTTTCCAACACTTCTATTGTGCGCTCCCTGTTGTGTTGCAACGTAAAAGCAGCATCTGATGCTGGGCAATCCCAGTTCCCAAACCCCAACTCCCACACACCCCCAAAAATCAGTCAACAGACCGTTCCATCAGATCCCACTGCAGCGTATCATAGACTTTCAGTGCTGGACCTGTGAGAGAGAGAGAGAGAGGAAATTTACAATCACAGGCAAAACAGGTGCCACAGCACCATGCTGTCTGGCCTCCAGATGAGCAACAGGCCCTGGAGATGGTGTTGGTGGGTGGGGAAGTATAGTGAGCGTTCAGCGCTGGGACCAACTTACAACAGAAAAGGGAAGGCTGGACATACCGAGGCCCAATCCTATGCATTCCTAAGGCCACCTATACTGTTACTTAGAAGCATGACAGGCGGTGGGGGGGGGGAATAGAGGATTGGTGGCTGTACCTGCTGGCTGTCTAGGAGCAGTAGAGTGCGGCAGCAAAAAGGTGTGAGTAGCTCTATTTAATTCTATACAGAAAGAGCAGATTCACAGATGTTACTGACAATCTGTACTGCTATTCCTCCAGCTCCCTCTCAGGCTCTCAGTCAGCTTTCTGTGTATCTACTGTCTCTACTAAGGTCCCTCTAGCTCGTTCACCCGCTCAGTAACAGCCAGTCAGCTGCCTGTGGCAACCAGAAACAATACTGGAGGTTCAGGGTGGTGGATAAACTGAGGGCACATATGAGGCAAATGCTTACCTTATGCAGCTAAAAGAGTCCGTTCACCATCTCGGTCTCTGGATCCAAATCAATGTCATAGAAGCAAGGTCTGGTGGGCAGCCCTGGCATAGTGCTCATCTACATCAGGGAAACATTCCACATCAACACACAGATTAGACCATCATTCTCCTCCCCCGCTTCCCTCCGCCCCCGCCTAGAGAGATGGGGAAGAGCTAGGGTCACTGCCAACACTGCTTTCAGCAGCTGCTGGGGCACAACTCAAGGAGGAAAGGGAAGGCATTGTAGTTCCACCAGGAATCACAGAGCATAGTGGTGGCCTGAGATGAGATGGGGAGTCCCAGCTTTGTGCTGGGGAGTGTGACCCAGAAAGCCAGGCCATAATAAACTGGCCAAAAAGCCTGACAGGCCAAATGGCCTCTGCTAACCACTAACAGCAAAGTAACAGGATACCCAAACTTAGACCAAACTTCAGCAGCCAACTGTATGGTCTCGCTTCCATGAGCTTCAACTGTGACCTGATACGAGGCTTTTCAACCCAGAACAATAAGCGGCAGCAGCTTTGCAGCTTGTGTGGGCTGTCGCCGTGTAACAGGAGCTGCCTGCACAGCTGGACTGATACTGTAACAGCCTTGTGTTCGGTGTCTCTGCACTCGCGCCTCTGCCTCCGGGGGAAAACACTCGCAATTTGCAAAATCAATTAATCTGCTTTCTTTCCCCTCAGTGTTAACTAGAACGAGGATCACAGTGCAACATCCTGGTCACTGTGCTGGGAATCATGTGAGCTCAGCCCTACAGGACATGCTGTGTACACACCCATCTGAGCTCTGCACTGAATGTCCTGAGCGCTGGCTAGAGAGTGTGATGGTGTAACACAAACAGGATTGGTCTCAGTGTCTGAGCCAGGGAAGGAAAGGATGTCAGCCATGTCCTGCTCTCATGGCTATTCAGCGACTCCCTCAGACATTCAACCAGTGTATTGCAGCGGATCTGTGCTTGGCTCAATACCCACACATGCACTTTCTAGCAGGGATAGCGTGTTAGTGATTACAACAACAGCTTCCATTTATATAGCGCCACTCATGCAGGGCAGCATTCCAGAGACAGTGGCGGAGTACAACGCCGAACCAGGACGAGGTGACCATAGGCACTGTCGAAGAGGAAGATCTCCAGGGGCAACCTGAAGAATGGGGAATGAAAGAGTGAGGCGGAGGGACAGAGGAAGAGTGTTCCAGGGTTTTGGTGTGTATTGGCTGAAAGCGAGGCCACCGATGGTGGAACGGAGAGAACAAGGGACATGCAGGAGGCTGGAGCCAGTCAAGCAGAGGCAATGGGTAGTGGGTTGGGGAGTAAACAGGATTAAGAGTGGGAACGCTGGCATGCTCACCCAGCTCAGTGACACATGCTGTGTACACACCCATCTGAGCCCCTACCACCAACACATCGTTTGTGACCAGCATTAGCTCAGGGCAGACACTTAAAGTTCTGCCTTTACCCTCTTCTGTGCGTCACACTGGGGATCAATCTCACCACAAACACGTCACTGCCTGCGACATTCCGCAGACGGAAAGTGACACAGAAAAGCAGCAATTTCCTTTTCCTTACTGCTGGAGTGTTCTGTCAGATGGTCAGTCACTCCAAGCAACATATCTGCTGGGTAATATATCCCCGGGGTGTCTGTATATCAAGCACAAGCCACTTACGCGCTCCCTCTGCCAGCACCAGGCCAACTTGGAGCTCAGCCATGCACAAGCCCATATGTCAGTGTACAGGCTGCCAGTGAGATCAGCATCACGTGTGCCATTTCCTCGCTGCCCGGCAGCTGCTGCCCGGCAGCTGCTGCCCACACTGGGTGCCAGCCCTTCCCTTTGTGCCATCGACAGCAAATTACAGAAGATAAGTCTTGGGCTTGATTGTAATGCCCTGACGAGGGACCAAGGCTGTTGTTCGCTCGCAGACCAGGTTAAGAGCACCTTATCTTCCACAGACCTGCTCTCTCCATCTTACCGACGACAGTCAATGAGAGGACGCCCCACCACCACGTCGGCCACCACCGTTTGGAATCCCCAGGAAAGCTCATATGCCAAGCACACAGGCTGTCAGGGAGACAACAGCAACACAGGGAGGTGTTGCTGTCTGAAGCACTGATGGAGTCATCGGATATATTTTGGATTGTTGTTGAATAAATAAATATCAGGATCCCCAGTCCAACTAAAGTGACCCCACATGATGATGAGGCTTCTGATGTAGAGTGTGACTCACCGTGCCCACCAGTGGGTACAGAAACCCCGCACCCACACTGGCTCGGATATCCCGGATCGGCAGGATGAAGCCAGTCGGAGCTCCTTTCTTGTCCGGCTCGTGCGATAAGGATAAATGGGTCTTGGCCATGCAGATGGGAAGGCCTCCAAACCCCTGGTCAAAAAAAACAGAAAGCAACTTACAACAATAACAACTTGCATTTTATAGCACCCCTCAGGCAGGGTAGCGTCCCAGAGCGCTATACAGTAGTGGAACACAACACCGAGGAGGGAGGAGGTGACGGAGGCACGGCCGAAGAGGAAGGTCTTCAGGTGTGATCTGAAGATGGGGAAGATGGAGGAAGAGTTTTCCACAATTTCAAGACGTAGTGGTTGAAAACGTGGCCACCAATGGTGAAAACTCAATAACTGGGAGTGGACACCTAATGGTGTTATTCACACCACATTCACAAATGTTCACACGCAGCTATTCCATGAATTGTGGATTTTAAGGACATAAGAATTTGCTGGTGAAAGAAGACCAAGGTTGATCTAGTTTGCCTTCCACCATTCTGGCAGTCGCTTGACATGTTGTGTCCCGAACTATATTCTCCCAGATATTAGAGAGAGAGTGCGCAAGCGAGCAGGAGAATGCGAACGAGCAAGAGAGCCATGACCCTGAGCACCAGCCACAACCATATAACTACCTGTCTGGTGTAAAGCTCCACCTTGTGCTGAGCTTCAGGGCTGAGCTCCACATCTGCTGCCCCATAAATCTTCTGGGCAATAATTCGGATCTTCTCCACGACATCGAGCTTGGAAAGAGAGAAAGTTTTGAAAAACAAGAGAAGATGGAAATTATCCCGCTCATTAACTGCTGGCCATGAATTTAAAAGTGTCGTACTTGAAGAGAGAGTTTTTATAGTCAAATAATAAAATAATAATCCTTGCACTTGATATAGAGCTTTTCATGTCATCTCGACATCTCAAAGCGCTTCACAGAATATACTGTAAAGTATCTTTATAAATATTTATAAATATTTTTATAAATATTTTACAAATGCAGCAGTCATTCACACCATTAAATGTTCACACACAGCCATGCCATGAATTATGGATTTTAAAGACATAAGAATTTGCTGGCGAAAGACCAAGGTCCATCTAGTTTGCCTTCCACCATCCTGGCAGTGGCTTGACATGTCGTGTCCCAAACTATACAGTCTCCCCGGATATTATTTTCCAGCAGAAATCTATCTCATTTGTTCTTGAAACAAACAACATTTTCTGCTTCCACTGTCTCCCTCGGGAGTCTGTTCCACAAGTTTACTACTCGCTCACTGAAGTGGTGTTTCCCCAAATTTGTTTTGAATTTCCCTTCAATCGCACACCGTTTTTTTTCTGGAATTGTTGGCCAGGACCCTGGGGGAAACTCCATTTTCTTTTTTAACCAGGTCGTAGGATCTTTAACATCCACCTGAACAGGTGGACAGGACCTTGATGTAACGTCTTACTTGAAAGCTACACCTCGGACAATATAACCTTCTCCCACCTTCTCCACTGGAGAGACAGTCTAGATTGCAAGCTGTTGTGGAGCTTAATCCACAACCTTCTGACCCAGAGTTGAGTGCAACCGAATGACAAATCAGGAGGAACAGAAATAAGGAATCTTATTCAGGTCTTATTCACCACAGTCTCACTGCCTTGTGAGAAGCACAGAATGAGACTAAGCTAAGGCTAAGCTTACCTCCACATTGTACAGGAATTGGAAATTGTTCTCCTGCTCAGCAGCATGCTGCACTGCTCTGGCAAGTGCCACTGCCCCCTTGCCTCCCTCGGCCCAGTGAGTGCACTTCACAGCATCGAATGCCCCAGTCTCCTTAGCAGTCCGGCAGACCACATCCAACTCTGCCTCAGTGTCTGTCCTGCGCAGTGATAGAGAGAGAGCTCAGCGACCACCAGGCAATGGGGGAGCTAATGCACTGGCCTAAGTGCCATTTGTGCTCTTGATTGGTATGTCCCATACATTTACAAAGTTATATTTCTTTATCCTAGCTCCCCTGATCGTTAAGCGGGTAAAGCTGGGCCATACAGACCAGAGGTTATGGGTGCGATCCCTGGGCACCGGCCTGAGAGTCAGGAATACAAATGGCCTCAGCGGCTTGCTTTAGGGAAAAGGAAAATCAGGCAGAGTTTCTGCTCCTGATAGCGATCCAGAAACTGCCAGATGGAAAGTTGCGCGAGCACAGAATTGGACTTCGATCTTCTGAAATTCCCTATCTCACCTCACACGGGAATGATGGCTGAGTAAGGTAACTGGCCTTTTAGACGTTCCCCAGGAGAAGGGAGTCAGACATCGTCAGATGTGGAGGGGAGAAAACTGAAGGTAATAATCCATTACTCTTACACATCGAGCACTTGAAAGAGACGACTTGCAGGAGCGCACATACTTGAAGACATTGACTGCTACCACCACAGTCACACCGAACATGCGGGCATTCTGGATCTGCTTGCACAGGTTACTGCAGCCCTTCTCTACCAGGTCCACATTCTGTAAACACACAGCCAGACTTACAGTCTTCATAACATGTCACACTGAGCATGCTGGAGATCAGTCGTCTCAGTTAGTTTATTTCCCAGATACCGGCTGTGGGAATCAGTTAACGATGCCTCCATTGTCTGCCAAATAGAGAGTTAATAATCCTCTCAGCCCCCATTCCCTCCAGACTCGGCTCCTGCCACCCACTCTCCAACTCATCTCCCACCAACGCTTAGCCTGTACAAAGATACACAGTGGAACCTTGACTATCTGCCATAGTTGACTATATCATAGAATTTTACAGGAGTCCATTCAGCCCATCGTGCCTGTGCCTTTGAAAGAGCTGCCTTTGAAAGATCTATCAACTAGTCCCACCCCTGATCTTAACCCATAGCCCTGCATTTTTTTCTTTTTTAAGTACCTATTTAAGTCCCTTTTGAAAGCTACTATCGAATCTGCTTCCACCACTCTTTTGGGTTGTGCAATCGAGACTGTAACAACTCTCTGGGTAAAAAAATTCTCGTAGTCTCCCCTCTCGTTCTTTTGCCAATTATTTTAAATCTGACCCACATGCAGAGGAAAGTTTCCCCCTATCAACTCTATCCAAATCTCATAATTTTGAACATCTCTATTAAATCTCCTCAACCTTCTCTGCTTCAAGAAGAACAATCCCAGCCTCTCTAGTCTCTCCACATAATTGTAGTCCCTCATCCCTAGTACCATTTTGGTAAATCTTCTCTGCAGCCTCTCCGAGGCCCTAACATCCTTCCTAAGGTGTGGTGCCCAGGAGTGGCTCAGAAAAAAGGGAAGCCCCACTTACCTCTTCAATATATTCCTTCGGCAGTGGGACACCTGCGGTCACCTACAGAGAGATAATTGTATTGATGAAAAGGTTTGTTTGATTGATTGATACACATGAACATGTTAGCAAGGCACGTGGAGTGGGTACTTGCCGTGGGTCCACCCCCGTGCATTTTCAGAGCTCTGACAGTGGCGACCAGCACCACCACGTGTGGACGCAGGCCGGAGTACCTGCACTTGATGTTGAAGAACTTCTCCATTCCAATATCAGCTCCAAACCCTGCTTCTGTGACTGGAGATAATAATAATAATAATGAATGAATGCCAGAAGAGGTAATAGACTTTAAGAATTACTAACCCTAGGTGATCTGGAAGGGCCAGGCTGGTGCTTATAAAGTATAACCTTGTTGAAACAATACATTGAGGTGTGCACCACTGGTGGGAGTGAATTGAAATACTGTATTGCAGTACCGTTCCTGCCACCAGAGGGCGCTCTACTATTTGACTGACTCACTGAGGGCCTCCTGTGGCAGAAACCAGATACTACAGCTCATTAATACTCACTAAAATACCCATTAATAATAAAGTTAATCAGGACAGTGATATTAGAATCTCAGGTAATCAGTTCAAACCACTTATATTGCCTTAACATCAGTTACCTATTGGGAACTGCTTTTCCTGCCTCACTGTAAAAGACAATGGACACCACGGAGCAGAGCCACGACTCACCCACAAAGCCTTCAGGTCCGACCAGCTTCAGTGCTATTTTGTCAGCCAAGATGGAGGAGTTTCCGTGTGCAATATTTGCAAAAGGTCCAGCGTGTACAAAGACGGGGGTTCCCTGGTAACGAGAGAAACAGCCTTCAGCCAGGGAGCAGCTGGTCCAGTCAACCACGGATAGAGTGATGAAGGAAGCTGATTGGAGGAGGCCATTCTGCCCCTCAAGCCTGTTCCACCATTCTATTAGATCATGGCTGATCTGGACCTGAACTCCAATTACCCGTCCTTGCCCTATATCCCTTTATACCCTGACCCGACAAATATATACCCTGACCCCACAAATATATACCCTGACCCGACAAATATATACCCTGACCCGACAAATATATACCCTGACCCGACAAATATATACCCTGACCCGACAAATATACACCCTGACCCAACAAATATACACCCTGACCCAACAAATATACACCCTGACCCAACAAATATACACCCTGACCCGACAAATATATATTCTGACCCGACAAATATATATTCTGACCCGAAAAATATATACCCTGACCTGAAAAATATATATACCCTGACCTGACAAATATATACCCTGACCTGACAAATATATACCCTGACCTGACAAATATATACCCTGACCTGACAAATATATACCCTGACCTGACAAATATATACCCTGACCTAACAAAATGCGTAACTAAACTAATAAGTGCAGCATTTTATAATAAACACCAGTTCTGGAGATTAATGTGAGACATTGTGAACCAGGGCTCTGCAGTCATCATACACTGAACTCTCAGGAGTTTAATTCAGTTTAATTTCAGCTCTCATATGTATCACACTGAGGAATAATAGCAGCATGACTTTTGCGTTTAGAGGATACATTAAAATCTCCCAGACAGTCATAGCTTAACACGATTTCAATAAAATGAACAAAAGGGCAGTTAGGAAAGTTCTCCCAGTACCCAGCACTCTGAAGGACATCCTCCCTCCCTCCAGGCCACACGCAGGACTAAATACACACAACCAATGCCACACCACCAATCCTCAGAAACTGGAGCTTAGTGGTTAGAGCACTCGCCTCACAAGCAAGAGGACCCGGGTTCGATTCCCGGACCGGGCAAAACAATGGTCAACGTTCCTTACTCCACACGCCTTTGTTTACCTAGCGGTAAGTAGGAACCCGTTAATTGATCTGTGGATCGCTTTCCAGGGGTAATAATCCCTCCAAAAATAATTTGGTCACTCAATCCATGGCTGTTTGTGGGATGCTGCTATGTGCAATTGGCTGCTGTGTTTCGCCCACAAAACAGGCAGTCAATTCACTTTACAGTACATCCTGTGAAGTGCCTTGAGACGTCCCCACGATGTGATAAGGCGCTATGTCAAATGCAAGGCTTATTATAGAAGTGCGAACCTAGTTTTTCTTCTGGTTTGGGGGGTGGGGGGGGGCACTGGGTGGGGATTTACTAACCTCCAGAGTCTGCATAAGATTGGGTTTAATGGCGTCCTTCATCAGCACAGTCAGAGCTCCACTTACTCCCTAGAGAAAGAAGAAAAACCTCATCAGTTTCTTTAGCAGAATTAATATTTAATAATTAGTTTACATTCATATTAAACTTTCAACTGCTGCTGGCCTCTCCCTCCCCACCTTCAATTCCTGCCTGAAGACCTTATTTTTAGATCGTGCATGTGTTCACCTCCCCCCCTCTCTGCCCCTGGCTCAGGGTCAGACTCCACTGGGACGCTAGCCCGCATTCAGGGTGCTATATAAACGCAAGTTGTTGTTGATATGGAGAGCGCCTGGGGAAGTGAATAGTACTCCAGTTCCTTTGAAGAGAAGGGATTATTGAGAGCAGTGTGGTTGGATGAGTAAATCTCTCCATGATTCTCTACACTGAATATTTTTTCTGAGGTTGGCAGACTATGAACCAGGGTGCTGTCGGAACAGAGTTGAGTGGGAACATTTATTCAAAAGGAATCAGCACATGGTGAGGAACGGTATTAGAGGGTTCAGGGGCAGAGCAGGGAATTTGGATTACAAGTGGAGGAGCAAACACTACCCCTAACAGTTGTCTAACTGTTGTGGGGAAGTTATTACCCTACACTGTTCAGCAACATCGTGGCCGACTCGCTATGAGGTCACTGCACAAGGAGCCGGGCAGTTTTTCACACGAGAAGGGTAGTGGAAATCTGGAACTCTCTTCCCCAAAAGGCTGTGGATTCCTGATACATTAAAATTTTCAAGACTGAGGTGGATCAACATTTGTTAGGTCAGGGTATCAAGGGACATGGGGCGAGGGTGGGTAATTTGAGTTGAGGTAGAAATCACCCATGATCTGGGCCAATAGAAAAGTGCGGCTGCACATTTTCCACGGAATCCACCACAAACGCCCTCATCCGCTACAAGCCCGCTATCAACATCGTTTCTGGCCCGTGGGCCAAGCGGCTGTTTACCTGATGTCACTGTGTGCCGGGCGGCTCCGGACGTACATGCGCGGTGCGGCACAAGAGGCAAATGGGCTTCACTCGGAGGCCCCGCTGTTGTGATTGTCTGCGTGTCTCTGTGTGTGTGAGAATGTGTGTGTGTGTGTGTGTGTCTGTCTCTATATGCATTTGTGAGTGTCTGTGTGGCCTGTGTGTGGGTGTATGTGTGTCTGTATGTCTCTCCCTCTGTTGGTGAGTGTCTGTGTGAGTATATCTGTGTCTCCTCTCTTCTGTGTGTTTGTGGGTGTGCCTAAGTGTGTCTCTGTGTCTGTGAGTGTGTATCTCTGTGTGTTTCTGTGGGTGTGTGTGTGTCTGTCTCACTCTGTGTTTCTGTGTGTGTGGCTCTCCCTGTGTCTGTGTCTCCCTCTGGGTCTGTGTGTGTTGCTGGGTCCTGAGAGCTCCTGTAGCCTCGCTGTGTCCCTCCTTCTCCCTCACCCGCCCCCCCAAAAACAGGCCTCCCAGTTTTTGTTAAAGAAGCAATTAAGAATTTTTTTGCAACAATCTAATATGTGTTTTTCCTCATGTTTAGTTTTTAATCAATAAAGTGAAAAAATATAGGTTGTCAGGATAATGTACCTCAACAGAACCAATCAACTCCCCGCCATTTTCTGCAAAGTTTATCAAAAATTTCCCCGCAACCGCCAAATCCTATTAAGAAGGTGCCATTGAGAGACTGAGAGACCACATGGTTTTGTACCTGAGCAGGGTGGGAAGAGGAGAGGAGTTGTGAGAGAGGTACAGACAGTTAGGTTTGGGAACCTCACACCCTCTCCTGGTCTGTCTCTGATAAGGACACTGTTAACACAACCTGTTAATAAACTGCTTAGTTTGTCAACCAACTCTGTCTCCATTAGGATAGACACGTTGCATAAGACATTAGAAGGAATTCTGTCTCCCCACCTTTCCCAACAGAGCTGGGGGAGGCAGTACACACTGGCAACAGCACTCAAGCTCCAATCCACATGCTTAAGTAAATGGCTGGAAATGGAACTAAAAGCCACTGGAAACATTCCAAAGCACAGTATATCCTGTGCTGCCGGGTCCATTGGGAATGTTAATGGTGGAAAATTGGCGAGAAGGAAAACAAAATCCTTCAAAGACCCTCCAGTATCTACAGATGTGACTCACAAAGCATCATCCAAGTCACGAGTATCCAGAAACCTGACATAAAGCAGGTCACAGCCTGAAGATACATTTTGTCAACAGTAATTGGCTTGGACAGCCTCCTTTCCCCCTCTGGAACACAGAGAGAAAGAGACAGATAGAGGAATTAAACTGGACAATTGCTGAGATTCTGAGATGCGTGTGTCACTAGAGATCACTTCCTGGTGCTTTCCAGCAAACTGCTATGCTGGGTTGGTAGACAGCAAGTCCACACCACACAAGACACGGTTGGTTATTTACAGTCAGGGAGCACTGACCCCTCTTCCTGTACCCTGCAAAAAGGACCTGTTTTTCAGCAGTGAAGTTGCTGGCTCAACCTACGGGGTTGAGGTGTTTAATGTTACTTCTAATAAATGCTTGTTGTTCACAAAGCGATCAAAACACAGGGCCTGGGGCGGCGGTGCGGGGCAGCGGGGGGTTGTGCTGGCTGAGCCCAATCTTATGTCTTCTACTCCCCCACCACCCCTCAAACACTTCAGTTTCAGCTCGCACACTCTGCTCGCCTGACTTCTGATTGTTGCTTGTCCATCCGCTCCACCATCGGTGGCCCTGCCTTCAGTCACTACGCCCCAAACCCCTGGAACTCTCTCTCAATCCCTCCGCCTTGCCCCCACCCTCTCGCCACACTTTCAAATCCTGCCTAAAGACCTTCCTTTTTGATCGTGTTTACGGTTCCACCCTCTCCCTCTGGCTCGGTGTCAGACTCCAGGAAGCTACCCCACATGAAAGCCACTGTATAAGTGCAAGTTGTTCTGCGTGGCACACACAATCACCACCAGCCACCACACTCCACCTCCCCTGACCCCACCCTCCTCTAATCACATCTCCCAAAGACCTATCTTTCAGACACACTTAAACCTTTCCACCTCATGCTTGAGCGCCCCATTCATGCAGCATTTTGAGATGTGAATCACAAGAGGCTAATCTTGCGTTTCACCAGTAAGTGGCTTTACATCACACCAGCTCTGTGCCAGAAAACTCCTCTCTTCCAATCGTGGGTTCCAGGCACCAACCTTACCAAATCATCTGTGGTGACAGGATTTCCTTTCCTGCTGAAAGCCACCACCATGTTGGCCAGACGCTGCCTCATATCCTGCACACTGTCCGTCAGAGCCAGCACTGCCATGATCTCACTTGCCACCGTGATGTCAAACTGCGCCTAGAGGGAAAAACAACAACCAAAACAGACTCTTTAATACCCACCCTGACACAGGCTATAATCCTGGCCCTGACCAGCAGAGCTTCTGCTACAGGTGAGGTTGTAGGTAAATAATGGCTAATATAAAATAAGCAGCACTAACACTGTGGAGACCTCTCAACTCCTCCTCAGTAAGAAAATATAAAACTTACCGTTCTGGTGAACCCTTTCTCAGTACTGGATTGTCCGATTGTTATCTTTCTCAGAAATCGGTCATTGGTGTCCATCACTATCAAGTAAAAGAAACATCTGCAAGGTGGGGATCTCAGGGGGGGAGAGGCAGCTCACTGTGACAACTCCCTACCACATACAACAACCTGGATTTATATAGCGCCCTCCACGCCGGACGGCGTCTCAGAGCGCTTTACAGTTTAGGATCCCGGGACTGAGCCAGGGGCAGGGGTGGGAAGGTGACCAAAGGCGCGGTCGAAAAGTTACCCCCCTCCCACACACACACATCAATTTACAGACAGAGCTATGGGCTGTTTGTGCTGCTGGTCTGCCAATTTCAGCCTCAACTCTCTCCACACACATACACAAGCACACACACCACCCCATACACCCACACGCTGAGTTATGTGGCTTGTTTGTCCTAAACGAAACTGTCCCGAAGCTTAGTCCGATTTCAGCCAGGCAGTCTGTGCTGCATTCAATCCAGGCTCCTGCTCTACCCTCCCCATCTAGTGGGACATGGCTAGAAATCCAGCCTGAGTAAACCATTTTATCTGTTTACCTCGCTGCCAAGTGATTGTATCCGGGTCAATGTCTAGCCTCACAAAGAGGTTTATTTCTTCATCAGTAAGCGAGTTGGGGTCACTTTTGCTAATCCTGAGTTTCTATAAGGAGAGAAATGTCACAGCTTTGAAAAAAGATTACAAGTTATGGTGAAGACAACGAGAATAACAACTTACATTTATATAGCGACCATCACTCAGAGTAGTATCCCAGAGTGCTTGTTCATTGCTGGGAGGATGTCCCAAGGCACCGAGGGTGGTGGGGAGGAAAAAAATGACCAAAGGTGCGGTCAAAGAGGGAGGAATCCCCAGGAAAGATTGGGGCACATTTTAAAGCTTCTGTTGAACCTTCAGCCATTTGATCTCATCCTCCCAGAGTACCGTGTTCCAAATGAGTGTTTGTGGTGCATCCAATCAAACAGGCAGATGGGAACAGGGCCAACCAACCTCAACACCAAAACCTGGTACAGAAATCCCTCAAAGCCAGGGATTCCAGAACCAAGAGTGCAGCCCACACTGACAGCTTCCCATCGAGAGAGCCACCTAAAGCCCACACTGACAGCTTCCCATCGAGAGAGCCACCTAAAGCCCACACTGACAGCTTCCCATCGAGAGAGCCACCTAAAGCCCACACTGACAGCTTCCCATCGAGAGAGCCACCTAAAGCCCACACTGACAGCTTCCCATCGAGAGAGCCACCTGAAGCCCACTTGTAGCTATTCTAAGAATTTGTTAGGACTGTCAAACTGCCTGGCTGATCACATTGCAGCTGGTGCTGTCCTGTAATGGCTCTGGAAGGTGAGATTGAATCAGTGTCTTTCTCTAAGGCAGTAGTGGGCAACCTTTGCGGTCGACCAACAAAATAAATGTTCTTGATTTATTATAACAACAATCCTTGCATTTGATGCAGCGCCTTATCACGTCTTCAAGACGTCTCAAAGCGCTTCAAAGAATATACTGTAAAGGGAATTGACTATACTTTGTGGGTGAAGCACCAGCTGTGATTTATGTCATAAATCAAGAAATATTCAATCAAGAAAATACTGAATCACATTACCGATCGAACCCGGACTGACCCAGTCTTGTAGAAATGTTTTGAGGGAGGGGATCATTCTTGAATGTCCCGCGGGCCACTTCTGGCCCATGGGCCACCCATGGACCACCACCACTGGCTGGAATAACCTCCTACCCAATTTGTGCTGGGAACTCTCAAATTCCACCTATTCTCAGTCTGTAAGATGATCATCTTAAACGTACGATGGGCAAGAATTGTGGAAAATTCTTCAGGTCAGATTCTATTTGGAAGTTGGTTTTCTGCAGTTTTCTTAAAGAGAAACCGGCTTTCAGAATGAATTTTCCTTAATTCTCACAATCTGTGAAATTTTAAGATAAGTGTTCTAACAGTCAAGCCAAGACTTGGGAAATTTTGGGTGCCTGAGATGTGTGCTGGCAGAGTAAGGAACCAGAGGCCTGTCTTTACAGGTTTGGAACCCCATTTTCTCCTTCTCCAAACTGTCCTGAAAATCAGAACCGCACCTTCAACCTCCTAAGCTGAATCTCGCTGAAGGTTCGAATATCTTTGTTTGAAGGCACCAGGCGGTTAAATAAAGCCTGAAAAACAAGAGACATTGTTAGACCCCTGAAAATTTTCAGAGTTTACAGCCCCTCCCTCCCAGACGCCTGTCCCACCCTCTCCCCTCCCGTCCTGAGAACATCTGTACCTTGTCAGACTGCGTTGTCTCATGGAACATGCGGGCATCGATGGCAGCAGCGACCAGGTTATTAGCGGCTGTGATGGCATGTATGTCACCCGTCAAGTGGAGATTGAACTGAAAAAGAGAAAGCAGCTGAGAAGAGAGAAGGCGATGAGACAGCTCAGACTGAATCACTTTACACTGTGTGTGGAATGGGTAACCTGCAGACACATTTGATAATTAGACATATTTATTATCTACTTGCAGGTCATCATCCTATTCTTTCATCGTGTTAAGTTAGGATCTGGATTTCAATGGAGTGAGCAGGAAGGTGATGCCAGCTTGTCTCAGTAAATTCAAGAGGGAATTTGGTAACTATTCAGCAAATAAATTCATTGAGAGCATGAGTGATGTAGCTTAACCTTGCTTGCTTGACTGAATGATTGAGGGAGGGAGGCCTGGTTGGATGGGTCCCAATAATCTGGCTGCTCCTGTACATCCTATGTAACTGTCAGAAAGTGGTCTGGAAGAAAGAGCTGTCTGAGAAATGTACTCTCTCGTCCCAATCTCATCCTCACACAACTAAGCCATAGGGAGGTCAGCTCGCCATATACTGTACATTATAAGCTTTCATCAGTTCCACATCTTGTGATGAAAAATTGGAACTAGAAATCCGAGGTGACTAACTAACAGTTGATAGGAAAGCTCTGCTAATGTATTGTGATCTTAAACAGCCTCCCGCTCAGTGACGCTGTACCTCTTCCATCGGGATAACTTGAGAGTATCCACCACCCGCTGCTCCTCCTGTTACAGAGAGAGAGAGGGGAAAAGCAATCAGTACACGTTATTAACCACACCATAAAAACATTAAGGATTATGGGAAAAGTGGGATTAATAGATTGCGAGTTAAAAAAACAGTGACACCAACATGATGATCCAAACAGCCTCTTTCTATGCTGAAATGTTCCAAGCTTCTATTCAAGAAGAATGAAAGAACTTGCGTTTATAGTGTAATAATGCTTCAAAATGTCTCAAGAGCTTCACAGTGGACAGTCAAGTAAGTGCCTAGTGTGATGTCAGCAAGCTCCCACAAATATCAAGATGAACGGCCATTTATCTAGAGGGAAGGAGACCAGACACTGGGAAAACTCTCCTCTTGTTGAAAAGTGATGTAGGATTCTTCACATCGCCCCACCTCCTCAATATTGTGCGGCTCCGCCACTGTCTTACACCGCAGGCCACCGAGACTCTCATCCACGCATTCATAACATCCTGGCTCGACTACACAAACTCTCTGTTTGTCGGCCTCCCCAGCTTCACAAGCTGCAAATCATCCAGAACTCTGCAGCTCATATCCTCTCCCGCACCAGGCTCTGCGACACTATCACCCCCATCCTCGCTCGACTCCACTGGCTTCCCATCACACACAGGATACAGTTCAAGATCCTGGTCCTCACTTTCAAAGACCTCCATGGCCTTGCCCCCACCCCTATCTCTTCGACCTCCTAACCCCCAACCAACGTGCCCGCTCTCCGCTCAGCGGGCTCCAGCCTGCTTCATGTCTTCTCGCTCGCCCCACCATTGGCGGGCAGGCCTTCTGCCACTCTGCCCCCACCATCTGGAACTCCATCCCGCAGTCCTTCCGCCTTGCCCTCTCCCTTGTCACTTCAAGACCCATCTCAAGACCCTCCTCTTTGAAAGTGCCTTCGCCCCACTGAAACAAGACAGGAGAAACCCAAGGTTACCTTTAATCCCGAAGGTGGGACCCTGTGATGGTTGCCGAACACAAGCAAAGACATTGAGGTCCAGGTGAGCGCCGATGGCCTGTGCCAACCCGATGGTGGTAGTACTCTTGCCTTCCCCAAGAGGAGTGGGAGTGATGCTGCAACAGAAGCCAATACTGTGAGCCCTTATACTCGCTCCTTCCCCCTGCCCACACCACACTCTCCTCTGCCCCTACCCTGCATGCTTCTAGCTGACCTGGGAATGTGGACAAACAGTGTAGAGTGTCCTGACCCAACTGTCCAGTGCCTTGGGACGTCCTCCCAACGTGAAAGACGCTCTATAAATGGAATCTTGTTGTTGTTGTTGTTGTAGAGGAAGCTTTCCTCTGGCTCTGACTTGGGAATTTAAACAGACAGTGTAAGAGCATTAAGCGCTCCAAAACACCATCCAGCGTGAAGAACGCTATAGAAATGCAAGTTGTTGCTGTAGAGGAAGCTGTCCTCAGTCTCTGACCTGAGAATGTTAGTCACAAGTGCTGCCCTCACTCTCCCTGACAGTCTGCCCCAAATCCATTCAGAACCTTGCTGTTGTCCCAAACGTGATAGTCCAATAGGACCACTCTCCTTACCCAGTGACCACAATGTACTTCCCATCCTGCTGGGGTCTCAGCCGTTCCAGGGTTGAGAGAAGCACCTTTGCCTTGTATTTTCCATACAACTCCACTTCATCCGACATCAAGCCCACCTCCCTCGCCAGGCGGCTGATGTGCTTTGGCGTGCCGGCCCGCGAGATGGCAATGTCACTAGAGGGAAAGACCACCATTACACAAAGTCAGACTGTGAACAGCCCCCCCAATAAAATAATTTCTTCATCATTAGACTTCAGCTAAAAGAATAGGCTCAAAAAATTAAATATAATACAGGCCCGAAAAGGCTGATAGATGGTGAGACATTCTACTCAGTGTGTGAAAAATTGATCACAGGGCTTCGTCAGCTCAGAAAAGTCACTGAAAGAGTTGAGGAGGAAGTGGAAGATGTGAGAGAGAAGTGAGTGAATGTGTGTGTGTGTCTATGTGTGTGTGAGAGAGAGAGAGAGAGAGAAAGGGGGGAAATTGGAGATTGGAGCTCAGAGAATAAACAATATTATCCTTTTCGATAATTGCCCTGCCCTGGCACAGTGAAATATCTAGCTATGGGAGTGGTGTTTAAATCTAGGGCAGACCCCAACAGTGAGCAAAGATAAGCTATTAGTGAGATTCAGGATCACACGCCTACCTGGGAACAGGCTGTAAAAGATTCAGCTTTGAGTACCGAATCGACCATTTGCCTGGTTTGAAGGTCTCCAGATGGCGCCTTGCGCTTTCCACTGTGTTCTGTCATTGAGAGAGCTGCACATCAATCAATACAATCTCTCCAACTGACAGAATGCCACATGGGGCCTTTAATTACTTCTTTCAAGCAAGGCTGGTTAAATGGATAGCTCCCCCAAAATTTCAAAGCTACTCACGCTAGACTTCCTCTCTCCTCCCCCACCCACACTGTCACATTGCATAACCCCCCCCCACCTAAAAAAATAAAGTTACAAGCAGCCTCCCAAGAGGAAGGCGACATGAGCTTCAACCTTCAACTTGTTTTAAAATCAGTCTCTCTCTTGGTATGAATCAAGCCAAGGGAAACTCACCATATGATCGTGCTTCGTGCAACCCAATCCTGGTGCAATTCCCAGCACGTGGTCTGTGCTATAAACATCACCATCAAACCTACCTCCATCAGCATGCAGACAGTCATGGGCCCCACGCCTCCAGGCACAGGAGTGATGTGTGAGGCCACCTCCTTGGCCTCACTGTAGGCCACGTCACCAACAACTCTCTTCCCGCTCGTCTTCGTGCTGTCTGGAGGGAGGCGGAGAGCAAGTTACACGTGGAGCAGGAGGAATTCCACGCCTGTTACACACTCTAGAGACAATGCGCCAATTATATGTGAGTGACAGCGCCTATTGTACATGAGAGGCATCACATCAATTACAAGTGAGATATCACATGCGGAATAGGCAGCACGCCAATCACATACAAGAGGCAGCATACTATAATATAAAATTGCTTGGTAATAATTGGTTTAATTGAAAAAAGTCTGAGGCAGTTTGCAATATTTCTGTAAGACACCGAGGTCCACACAGCCAGAGGTAACTGTAGCAGATCAGGTGTTGGTCCTAACAAGAAAGGGGCTGGAAAAGGATATTGTAGGTGAGTGCTTAGTGGGAATGTACAAACCCTTAATACTGCAAAGCTTCCAAAGAAGCTGAATTGTGGGAGTTTGGTGCTGACACTCACCAGGAACATGGTTAATTCCGCAGTCAATAACAATAGCTCCAGGCTTGATCCAGCTGCCTTTCACCATCTCAGCTTTGCCGATTCCAACAACCAGAACGTCTGCTTTCAACACCTGAAGTGTAATAGCAGTGCGATGAGAATAGAGTCCAGGGCACAGCCTGGTCAGCAGCACCAGTGACCGGCAAACATGCTCTTCTATTCTCAGTTCAATGCTTCTCTCATCTACATCGCCATGCAACTACGCACTGGGTGTCCAGCCTAGACTGAACTCAAAGTGCGCAGAATTCTGGAAAATAATTCAATTCAGCCTTAATTTGGAAGCCGATTTCATTCAGACCTGTGGAAAGTCTATTTCCAAATTAACCAAAGTTAAGCATTTTGTCAATGTTTTAATAAAACAAAATGTTTTCTCAAGTGTAGAAAGTAGGATTTTAGGGCTCCTTGAGCTTTTGAAGTGGAGTAACCGTTTTTGTGGGCAAACAAGGCACTATTTGCCCAGCAATGACACACAACACTTTAACCTTAAAGCCTCTAAAAAAAATCCATTCAACACTCCAAATTAGTGATTGAAGAAAGTTTGCCTAGTATCCTGATTTAACAGCCTCTGTTTTCACGTTGCTGAAATATAAATTAAGGCTTGTCCCTTTACTTCTCATAAATATATTTTATAACCTTTGCTACTTTCTAATCCCTGACTCCCGACGTAAAAGATGCTATAAAATGCAATTTGTTATTACTATTGTTTGTGATATCGCTTTTCTGGGGGTAATAATCCCTTCAAAAAAAACCAATAAAATAATAATCCTTGCATTTGATATAGCGCCTTATGAAGTCTTTGAGACGTCTCAAAGGACTTCACAGAATATACTGTAAAGTGTAGCGACTATGTTTTGTGGGCAAAATAACTTGGGTTACTCAATCCTGTTTGTGGGACCCTGTGTGCGCAATTGGCTACCACGTTTCACCCACAAAATAAACTCAATTCACTTTACAGTATATTCTGTGAAGTGCTTAGAGATGTCTCAAAGACATGATAAGGCGCTATATCAAATTCAAGGATTATTATTATTATTATTCAGATTTTTGCACAACAGTAAAATGTAGGGCAAGTTTTCCAAAATTTTCTATCTCTGGATCTCTTGTCTGTTCACACTCCGTGTTCCAATCCTCGTGGAGTGTTTTGGCTGAAGGCCTATCCGGCCAGGATGGGCAGTCAGTGGCTTACCTCTCCCTGCAAGTCCGCAGTCCTGGAGTGGCAGGTGGTGACAGTCGCGTGGTTCCACAGCAGAAGGTCGTGCATAGGGGCCCCGACGATTTTGCTGCGTCCAATGACAACAGCCTTGGACCCCGCAAGCTTCACACCTGACGACCGGAGAGAAAGAATAAGCACATTAGGACTGAAACACACAGCCGCACAAGTCACGGTCCTGTCTGCACCATCGTCAGGGGCCATTAACAAACACACCACTGGTGACCAACTCGTCAGGAGAGCAACTCACAATTCACTCCAGATAATTGATGCCTGTTTCTGGGATGCATTTGATATAGCGCTTTTCAATCTTCTAGATGTCTCAAAGCGCTTCACAGAATATACTGTAAAGTGAATTGACCGTATATTTGTGGGCGAAACACGGAAGCCAACTGCGTACAGCAGTGTCCCACAAACAGTCGTGGATTGAAGTGACCAATTTATTATTATTTTTTCCTTGAGGGATTATTATCAGGCGTGTGGTGTAAGGAAACTTGTCCAAGGTTTCACCCTGTCGGGATTCGAACCCAGGTCTCTCACTTGTGAGGTGAGTGCTCTAACCACTGAGCTACAGGACTCCACATTTGTGAAGTGTTTGTGATGTTTCTATCATCATGATCAAATACCAACACTCACCTAAAAACATGTTTGCCAGCAGGCACCATGATACACTCCCCAGCACTAGCCAGTGCCCGTTATCCTGCCCCCATCCCCAGCACAAGTCAACACCAGTGACCCCAACCCAGGCATGAGTCAGCCCCCGAGGCACATAAAGCACTTCATTATAAAAACTTACGTTACCTGAATAAATTCCATCTGGCTAGCAGTTAGCAAAGAAAAAGAGAAGATAGTCACGTGGATTAATGTTCTAAACAACAGAGCAGTGAATTGCTAAAGGATAGACTTAAGGACAACATGAAAATCCCAATTCAAGCAGTAAAAAAGAGACACACACATAGAAGTGACGAAGGGAGGGACACACACACACACCCACAAGCCGCTATACCAAATGCCAGACTGATTATGATGCCTCCTACCTGTCTGTTTAATCAGCTCCAGGCAGCCTTTTGGCGTACAGGGGATGAAGCAGTCACCGAGGTCACCGCGGGCCAGTTTACCAGCATTGATACTGGTTAATCTGCAAACACAGGTCAGTTACCAGCAGCCACGAGATCAGCAACACAACCACTCTCCTGACAAGCCTTCAGTTTCTACCTAATCCCCACCACCCAATCAGGCATAATAAGCCATTTGGTATAATTTCTCTGAAACCCATCCTTGTCAACGCAGATCGTCGCTGCTCCATTGTAAATGTTTCAATATGTCCTGTGAGAAAGAGTGTGTACTGCTGACTGACTACCTCTCACTTCTCTCTCCTGCCCCCAGCTCCATTTAGCTCTAGCGGGGGAGCGAGCAGCAGCACAGAAATGATAGAGCGAATGCCTTCTTTTACACTGTAAGCTATTCAAGCTTCCTGCTCTGGAGCTATTTCCTTAAACTCTTGCCATCGGTTCAGTTAATATCCTTTCAGCTCAAATAATCAAGTCTCACCAATGGCTGAAATTACCCATAGTGTTCAGTGGGCATACACCATAATATGGTGCAGTGATTGGAGGGAGGTTTCACACATGCTGACAATGGCTGCCTCACAGGGGGTAGAGGGGGTAAGAGGTCAATCCGGTTTCTTCTGAGTGAAACTACTCCATTGGTTTACTCATTTGATCTTGGTTATCTGAAAGGTTTACTCACTCGACCATACTGGGAATGCTCAGCAGTCATTGCTCCCAAACTGGGTCACTGAGGCCTGTGAGCAGGGATAAATCTCATTCTACAACCACAGGCCAGGATGATAGTTACCCATCCACATCCTTCTCTGGAGCAACTGCGTTGGTTACTTTTTCTACGTCAATGGGATTATTGGAGTCCAGCGGGAGCTGCACAATGAGTCCATGGACGTTGGGATCCTCGTTGATGTGGGCAATGCTATCCAGCACCTGTAGAGTGATAGATATTGTCAGCCAGTGAGTCAACAACAACAACAACACAATTCCATTTATAGAGCGCCTTTCACGTCAGGAGGACGTCCCAAGGCGCTGTACAGTTGGGTCAGGACCCAAGCAGGGGGGAAATGGTCAGGGTGAGGAGAGGGAAGGGAGGGAGTGAGGAGGGGGTAGAGAGTCGAGAGGGGAGCTGAAGGCACGGTCAAAGAGAAAGGTCTCGAGACCAGCCTTGAAGGGGGAAAGGGAGGAGGCAAGGCGAAGGCACTGGGGGATAGAGTTCCAGAGCCTAGGGGCTGAGAGGCTGAAGGCCCGGCCACTGATGGTAGGGAGGATGGGGCGGGGGATGTGGAGCAGACCGCAGCCAGAGGAACGGAGGGTACGGGCAGGTAAGTAGGGGGATAGTAGGTCAGAGAGGTAGGAGGGAGCGAGGCCGTGAATGGCCTTGTAGGTGAGGATGAGGATCTTGAATTCGATCCTCTGGGGGATGGGGAGCCAGTGGAGGCGAGCGAGGGTGGGAGTGATGTGGGCGCGGTGTCTGGTGCGGGACAGTACACGAGCTGCAGAGTTCTGAATGACCTGCAGTGTGGAGGGAGGGCCGGGAAGGCCGTCGAGGAGAGAGTTCCCATAGTCCAGTCTTGAGGTGATAAAGGCTTGGACCAGAGTTTCAGCCACGTGAGGGGTGAGGTGACGGAAGGCGGTGCCAGTTGTGGCGCGGATATGAGGGAGAAAGGACAGCTCAGGGTCGAACAGAACACCGAGGTTCCTGACTGGCTTTGAGCAGTGGAGAGTGCTGCCTTGGATGCTGATGCTGTCAGCGCCTGAGGTGCGGAGGCGCTGACGTGAGCCAATCAGGAGGGCCTCAGTATTACGCACGTTGAGCTGAAGAAAGTTGTCTCTCATCCAGGACTCGATGTCGGACAGACAGCTGTCAGGACATCGGGGGTCGTGGAGTTGAGGGTAGAGGAGGAGGAAAGGTAGAGTTGGGTGTCATCCGCATACATGTGGAAGTTAACCCCATGTCTGCGGATGATGTCACCACAGGGGGAGCATATAGAGGGTGAAGAGGAGGGGACCGAAGACAGAGTATGCTGCCGATAGGTTGAGGAGGACGAGGAGGCAGAGGGAGCCCTGGTCGCAGATGATCAGGATGTCATTGGTGACCTTGACCAGGGCGGTTTCTGTGCTATGGGCAGCACGGAAACCCGACTGAAGGGGTTCGAATAATGAATGGGTGGAGAGGAAAGAGCGCAACTGGGAGGCGACAACTCATTCAAGGACCTTGGACAGGAAGGGGAGGTTGGAGATGGGCCGGTAGTTTGATAGCTGCGACGCATCAAGGGAGGGTTTTTTCAAGGTGGGAGTGATGGTGGCAGTTTTTAAGGGAATGGGAACAGAGCCAGAGGAGAGGGACAGGTTAACGATGTCTGTGATATGTGGGGCAAGGAGGTGGAGCTGGGAAATGAGTTTGGTGACAGAGGGTGGGGAAACGGGTACGAACGTGTGTAGGGGAGGATGGGTAGGAGTCGGAGTGTGGGAGGGAGGGGGTGGGGGGTGGGTGGATGTTGGAGGGGAAGTGACCGCGGAGCGAATTCCCTTGATTTTGGATTCAAGCAAATCCAGCATCTCCTGGCAGTGAAGGTTGGAGGAGATGACCTGCGCGGGGTGGCGGGGGGGGACGGGGGAGTCGGGATGTGGTAGAAAACAGTAGCCTGGGGTTGTTCTTCGCCTCCAGGATTATCCTGGAGTAGAAGGACGACTTGACCGAGGCTAGAGTGGAGCGGTAGATTTTGAGGAGGTCCAGCCAGATTTGTCGGTGAACCGTTAGGCCAGATTTGACGCAGGTGCGTTCAGCGGCCCACACCTGGCTCTTCAGTGAGCGGAGGTGGGTGGTGAACCAGGGGGAGGAGCGAGAGTAGGAGACAGTATGGGAGGTGATGGGGGCAAGAGTATCGAGTGTGGAGGAGAGGGTGTTGTGGAGGAGGGTGAGAGGAGAAGAGGGGTCAGTGAGGGTTGAAGGCCAGAGGGAGAGGAGTTCAGAGGACTCCAAGGCAGCGGTTAGGGATTGTGGGGTTAACTTTTTCCAGGGGTGGTAGAAGATGGTGGTGGGTCTGGTGGAGGTGGGGACGGGGGTGGAGGTGGTGAAGGAGATGAAGTGGTGATCGGAGACGGCCTTGTCGGTGATAGTGACATCCGAGATACTGAGGCCCCGGGTGATCACCAAATCGAGTGGGTGGCCGTGACTGTGAGTGGGGGAGTTGATGTGGAGGGAGAGGTTGAGCGAGGAGAGCAGGGAAGAGAAGCCTGAGGAGATGGAGTAGGAGGGGGTGAAGTGCAGGTTGAAGTCGCCCAGGATGATGAGGCGATCAGAGCAGAGGCAGAGAGATGTAAGAAGTGTTGAAATATCGGAGTCACATCTAACCCTCCAACCCCTCACCACTGAGCCAAACTATCCCAAACCTCACCCCAGCCAGAACATCACCCCAGATCCTGCCCAGCCTCAAAGGCCCCAACCCCTTCGCACAGAACCCACCCCACAGGCCCCACCCAGCCCTACAGGCCCCACCCAGCTCCACAGGCCACACCCAATCCCCCTCACAGAACCAAACCCCACCGAGCCCCACAAGCTCCGCCCAGCCCCACAGGCCCTAACCCCCTGCTGAACCAGCCAATTTGAATTGAATCTAATGTAAGCACCTTCAATTCATGGGGGAGGGGAGGGAATAGTAAAAGAGGGGAGAGATACTTCAACTCACTTCTTCTTCACTTGCGGTTTTTGGCAGTCTTATGTGGTTGGCATTCATCCCAATCTACAGACAGAAAGAAATAAGATTAGCAACAAACTCAGCAGATTTATTGACAAAAAGGAGAAAACACATTCAAAGTGCCTCCTTCAGGGAGATTTACTTTGCGGTCCTCGGGGGGTGCCTACCAAAATCAATTCCAAGCAAAGTTGGCTCAAATGTTTGCAGCCCTGTTGTTCCTGGGCCTTCCTGATAGACGACGCAGTGAGTTTAAAACAAGGTACTCAGCATCCCAGTTACATTCAGCAATATCTGGAACACTAACCTCGGCAGCAGCTTTCAGCTTCATACTGATGTATAGGTTGGAGTCATCCCTGTCGCCTACCTGAAATTATAGCAGAGATTGAAAGAGTGAGTTAGTTATAGGAATGAATAGAAAGAAGGAGTGAGTGATTAGATAGAGAGAATGTGTGAGTGATAGTGGCAAGAGAATGAGTGAAAGATTAAGAGCAAGTCTGACTGAGTGATAAGAGTGAGAGCAAGAAAGAGAAAAATGATTAGATTCTGCAAAATTTGAAAGAAATCATAGGAAAGGATTTGATGCTGGACAGGATAGTTCAGTTTAATTTCTGCAGTCAATGCGTGAAACATGCTGGAGTCAGACTACAACAGCTGTGAGCACAGGAAAGATACTTGATTCATCCCAACCCTACCATCATTTAATTACAGCAATGAGTCCCAGTGTGCAGCCCTCAATGCCCGGCCTGTATTACAATTTAGATAACACATTTCACGTAAGGAGGACGTCTCAAAGCGCTTTACCCAGCTGGCTGGCTGGGCACCCAAGCTTTGGTGGTGGGATATGAGGGGAGGAGGATGACAGGTATGTTACTCCCTCACCCCAAACTGCCCAACGTTATAGATTACCTGCAGGATAGCGAGGCCGGGCCGGAAGCCAGGAGCCAACTCCTTCATCTGGCTCACTTCATTCTTCAATCTTTCCCGGACTTGGCTGGGGGATGACAGGAAGAAGAGTTAGTCTCCAGGTTCCAGCACTAAACCCTCTCTATAGGATTCACAGAGCAAAACAATTGTAATGGAGAAACTCAGAAATGCTAGTCTGTGTGCCTTACGCTGAGGTTTTAGATCCTGACACAATTGTTCCCAGTGCCCTTACAATACCCAGCTTCTTGAAGGGATATCTGAGATACGGAAGCATGGCTGTCAGCCTAGAGTCCCAGTGAAGACCAACAGCAAGTGTGCGTCAATTTGTTTGTCTTTCAGCATCAAAAGGAAATGGCGGAGAAGAGCTGCAAAATGTGCCAAAACGCAGTTTGAAGTCCAGAGAGTTCAACGCAGCATTGCCTCCTGGAACAACACAGCATTGCCTCCGCATCACTCTTGCCTGTGAACCCAGCGACAATTCTCAGATGTTCACCCTGAGTTGCTGTACCTCTCCCAATCGCTGTTGCACAGTCAGCTTTCGTGTTGGATTGATTGGGGTATAAAGAAGTCAGAGCCCACAGAGTTACTTCATATCTGTCTTTTCCCTTTTTACAAAAAGCAGTTCTGCACAGACAAGGCCACCCAAGTAGGGAACGGGTCCAAATTCCTATTTACTGCTAAAGTTGAACTTTAACAAGCTGGCAGGGGCATGCACAACTCAGCGCCAAAATGTTTACATTGGGGGTGGGAGGGAGATAGGGGAGGGAGATGGAGGGAGGGAGGACAAATGATCAGTGCCTGGGAGTGGGACAGGTGCTGGCTTAGCTCAAGTTCCCATGCACCATCACTTTGTAAATGGGGATAAAAACAAGAACTTAGGAAATGTTTCCTTCAGGTGAATGGGACAGGTTAAAAGTATGAGTATAGGAATCAGAGGCCATTCAGCACCTCCAGTCTGCCCACCAGTTTGTTTGACCATGGTAGATCTTCTAATTTCCTTTCCCTTATTTCTCAGGTGTCTATCCCTTCAAACATCCCAATGGATCTGACTTCATGGCCTTCTGGGGTACTATATTCATTAATCGTTCGCTGACAGATACAGTCACAACACTGCAGTGTAAAATCCTGTGAAGCTCTTTGAGACATTGACAACATACAGCAAAAATGCAAGGATTAATTAACATTCTCACATGCCTTTGTATTTATCAAATTACTTCACAATCTTGAATTGTTATAAAGAGATCTCTATAAAGCTATCAGTAGATCCCTGAATCTCTCTCACCATTATTCTTCCCTCCAGATTGGACTCCTCTTTCCTCTATTAGGATGCCCCCTAGTACTTCACCAAATGGCCAATATCCACGTGTGAGACTGAACAGTATTAGTGGGATATTCACGGTACAATAGTCAAGCTTGATCTGCCCTCACATAGCGCCCACAGAGACACATCTCCTAGGAATCAGAAACCCTGGCTGATGTTCCTCTTCCTAACCCAGGAGTAGCTCCGACTGAGATCAGCTAACTCACTACAAAGTGAGAACTGAACCTTGAAATATTTCCACTAGTATGTAAGTAACAGAGGAGTGAGGCTGAGAGAAGCAATCCCATTTTACGCACCACGTACCGTGGGTTGCCACTCCCCGAGCTGCCTAACCAATGGCTGTCTCAAGGCAGTGCTGAACAATGAACAACAGAGAGACATATAAGTCAAAGCCTCTCAATAACACATTGGCCCTTTCTCTCTTTTAAATCAAAGTCCATTGGCCCTGAACTAGAATAGCCTATTGAAAGTTCAGCAGTTAAATGTGGGCTGAGTCACAAAGAGTGAGTGGAAGTAAAGTCAAAGATTTACATTCATATTTGCTCATAGAAGCTGTTCAGAACCATTATAGGTGAGACAGACTTCACAGAGCAAAGGCAAAGCTGCAGGTTGAACATTCACATTGGCTGCCTCCCAAGCTGTGCCAGCCTCTAAATGACTCTCTCAGACTGGCCAATTATCCCTTATCTTAAATATCAAAGTCCATTGGCCATGAACTTGAATAGCTTCATCCAAATCTCAGCAGCTCAACACGCTATCCAGCTATAAAGGAATAAGTGAACAAACGTCAGAGGAAGAACTGCAGTCCATTTAATAAGCCACCTCTATACAAATGTCTCAGATCTCTTTATAAACACTTTATTTGAAGTATGGTAATGGATATGTAGGTAATTGGTAACAACTTTTAAGAGAGAAGTAGATAATTATTTGGGGAGTACAAGTTTGGAGGGCTATGGGGAGAGAGTGGGGGAGGGGATTGATTTGGATAGCTCTTTTAAAAGAGCTGGCACAGACACGATGGGCCGAATGGCCTCCTTCTGTGCTGTACAAGTCTAAGATTCTATGAATCATGTTGGATGGCATCCATCGAGGGGGACTGACTCGGTGGATTTGTTCCAGGTCTTCTGTTTGTGGATGGTGTTGTGCTACTGGCAGATTCACGTGGGAACCATCTGCGCTTCACCCATCATCTTGAACACTGGGCCACCCCGTGGGACAGGGTGGTAGGTGCCCCAAATTTGGAATCATGGTTCTACACCTCTAGAGAAGACATTGCGGGTACTGATTGGAAAATACAAGGGGCATCAGTCCCAATTGTTGATTCTTATCAGTACCTCGGGATCATAGTGGACACTAACATTTGCCTGGACACTGTCCTGAAGGATTGCGCTGAGGAGGGGCGATGGGCACTCTCCTTCCACCTTAACTGGCTCTGGGGTGATAAGCTTAACAACGCCGGAATTGAGCCCACCCTCAATGGTGGACTTGGTAGTCCATTCCTGAGCCAGGTGGGTCCGCAGTTACTCCAGGGCACTGCTGATGATAGCCCAGGACTTAGGTGGGCCGACAAGTCACTGGAGGCAGGGACTCTTCGCACTCATCTCCTGTTAACCCTGCAAGGCAATGCCCTAATGGGTAGCTGGACAACAACAACAGGATTACATTTGTATAGCGCCCTTCACATTGGGAGGACGTCCCAAGGCGCTGGACAGAGTACAGCATTTCAGACCCGAGCTGGGGTCGGGGGGGGAGGGTAGGTGGGTGGCCGATGGTATGGTCGAAGAGGTGGGTCTTCAGGCGGGACTTGAAGGAGGCTCAGGAGGAGACGAGGCGGAGTGACTGGGGAATGGAATTCCAGAGGTTGGGGGCAGAGTGGCTGAAGGCTCTCCTGCCAATGGTGGGGCGGGTGGGTCGGGGGACGTGGAGCAGGCCAGAGCCGGCTGAGCGTACGGAACGGGCGGGTTGGTAGGGGGTTAGGAGGTCGCAGAAGTAGGGTGGGGCGAGGCCATGGAGGGCTTTGTATGTGAGAGCCAGGATCTTGAACTGGATCCTCTGAAAGATAGGGAGCCAATGGAGTCGGGCGAGAGTGGGGGCGATGGGGTCACGGAGTTTGGTGCGGGAGAAGACACGGGCTGCAGAGTTCTGGATTATCTGCAGTCTGAGGAGGGAGGAGTTGGGAAAGCCGACAAGCAACATGAAAGCTTTCCAGGCAGTTTCTCAATAACAAGCTATGGAGTCCTGTAGCTCAGTGGTCAGAGGACTCTCCTCAAAGGCGAGAGACCTGGGTTTGATTCCCGGCAGGGCAAAACCTTGGGCAAGTTTCCTTACTCCACACACCTGATAATAATCCCTCAAGAAAAAAAAACAAAAATAAATTGGTCACTTCAATTCATGACTGTTTGTGGGACACTGCATTGGGTAATTGGCTGCCGCGTTTTGCCCACAATTCACTTTACAGTATATTCTGTGAAGCGCTTTGAGACATCAAGAAGATGTGAAAAGCACTATATCAAATACAAGAATTATTTCATTTATGTGTTTTTTTTTATATTTATTATCTGATATTTTACTAATCCTTGAAGAGCAAACATGGAAATGTCTCAAAAGTGATTTACAGGCAATTGCTGTCAGTGTAGATACTGTTTATTTTCATGCAAATTCGGAACTAATTTGCTCACAGCATGGTTCCACAACTATGAAGTGAATGCAGAGTTCATCTTTAAAACTGATTGTTGGTCAGCAATCAGAAGAAACTGTTTTTTTCAACAGTGTCATGCAGAAGCAACATCGGATTAACCTCCCATCTAAAGGATGAAATGCTTAGCAATTCAGCAGAGTTTCACCCAGCACTGCACTGCACTGCCTGCCTAGATAATTAACAACTCCTGATGTGGGGCTTGAACCCACAATCTTCAGACCCAGAAGCGAAAGCCCCATCATCAGAGCTAGGCTTTGTTCAACAACCAAGTTACATTTGTATACCGCCTTTCATGTTGGGAGAATGTCCCAAGGCTGAACAGTCAGGCACAGGGTTGGGATCAGTAGAAGGGTGACTGAAAGCGCGGTCGAAACGAAGGGCCTTGATACGTGCCTTGAAGGAGGTAAGGGAGGAGGCAAAGTGAAGTCACTGTGGAGTTCCAAAGTAATTTAGGAGCCTGCTGAGCAGAGGGAGTGGACAGGTTCATGTCGATATTAAAAATTTTCAAAAAGATAAGCGAGTTTCTCCTGGTGTGCTGACCAACATAAAATTGTCATTTGTTTAGTAGCTGTTTGTGGGACATACCTGTGTGCAAAATGGCTACTGCTTTCACCTACAATGATAGTCACTATATAATAATAGTAATATAATAATCCTTGCATTTGATATAGCGCTTTTCACATCTTCTAAACGTCTCAAAGCGCTTCACAGAATATACTGTAAAGTGAATTGACTGTATATTTGTGGGCGAAATGCGGCAGCGAAATTGCGCACAGCAGTGTCCCACAAACAGTCATGGATTGAAGTGACCAATTCATTATTGTTTTTTTCTTGATGGATTATTATTAGGGGTGTGGAGTAAGGAAACTTGCCCAAGGTTTCGCCCTGCCTGGAACCGAACCCAGGTCATTTGCTTGTGAGACAAGTGCTCTAACCACTGAGCTACAGGACTCCACAATACACTTTACAGTATATTCTGTGAACCATTTTGAGACTGTCTCCTTAAGTAAAATGCATTATATCAAATGTAAGAATTATTATTTCCAGTGAATCATGTGAAGTGCTTTGAGACACATAATATGATAAAGTGGTATATCAAACACAAAGTTTTTATATTTATCTTGTGACTATTTTCATTGAAAGCTGTTAGAGGAATCTGGGTAAAGGGTGCTACAGTTGGAAACTTCTTATAAAAAGTCACAAGACACCACAAGACATCACACGATTAGATTAACGGTCACATTCCAGCAATCTGAATTCCTTGAAATTACTGTTTCAGGATCTGTGACTGTCCTCTGTTACATTATCCGAGTGGCCATTCATTATAGCACTACACACAATTCCTGTTCCTCCGGCAAACATAAATCACTAACGCTCGAGCATATATACGTTAGTGATATTTTTGCAAAAAAGAATTTGAGGCTCAATTCCAGGAGGAAAGTATTTCATAAGGAGGTTTGAGATGAGGAACCTTCAGCCCATTTTGATATCTTTCCACATTACAGGACTTTCCTTCACCCTACCATACAATAGCAAGCTAGATAAGGAATATGGGCTCTCAAAGAACGTTTACAG